AAAGTGGCACATACGAAAGCGGAATACATGGAGAAAGGACCGAGCATCTGTCGTTACAATCCCGTATTCGGCGCACTTACTTGAATTTTGGTATAAGTTGGAACTAGTCGCGCATTCTTTATTGTGCATGATAAATTTATTTTACTATAAAATTCATAAATAAATTATTACCTTTTTTTCTTAGTTTTTTTAGAAAATAAAAATCAAATTTTTGAAGTTTAATTAATTTTGTTTACAATACTTAAAAATGACTAATTACTTTTGAACTTTTACAATTTCTAAATTTATCTTTGAAAAGATCAAATTTCAATTTAAACAAATTACTATTAGTGAAGTGGAAAATGAATGTATGCTAATAAAATCCCTCTATTACAATCATCTTTTATTTTGAAACAAAGTATAATCAATTACTGCTAGAATAATATTAGGAATAATTCATGAAATTAACACTGTCCTTATAAACTAATCAATTTGTATTGTACATTTCTTGACAGCTTATTTCGAAATTCTTCAACTTGACAGCTTATTTTGAATTCCTTGAGAAATCCTTCAAAGTAATCATACAACTTTGATTTCACTAAAATTTTCCGCTGAAAACGATTCATTCGTTTAATCGACACGTTTAAATCGATAATTTAATTTTAATGAAATTATTTTAAATTGTATTATTTTAAATTTTTAAATTAATTAAAATATTTCTTAAATTATGATTGTGCCAAAAATTATATGAAAATAAAACAAAAAGGATTAAATGAAAAAAGAAATTTAAATTATATAAACAAATATACGTATAAATTCAATGAATAATAATTAGTTAAAATTAAATAATTAGCATGTTAATTATTTAATTTATTTTTTACTAATTATTTTAATTAAATGAATTTATTTTGTTTTATTTTTGTTTTTCTTTATTTTTAAATCATAACAAAATTTAAGTGTGAAAAAATGCCAATAGCAAAAGCAATACGAAATGTCCACTCATTTATAACCACCGGTCTTCGTCCATTAATACCATTTGGAATATTAATTATTTATACGTTAATTGGCGCATTTCTGTTTATGAACGTGGAAGGTCCTAATGAACGTCGTGATATTGAATTACGTCAACGTGAACAACATGAATTATTTGAGGTAATTTAATTATGCACATTTCAACAAACAATTTTTAATTATTTAAAAGCAAGTCAAATCATTAATTGCAACAATTTTTTGTTAATAATAAATGAATAAAACAATAGACTGATAAAAAGCTACTCATCTTTTTTTAAAAGCTTTTAATTTAAATAAAATCGAAATATAATTTTAATACAACTGATTAATTTTTTGATAATTTTAGATTATCCTTATTATAAAATAATATTTTTAATTATAATAATTATAATAGAATCAATTGTCAGTCTGAAATTCATCCATCATACATTATTATCATTTATTATATTATTAATTATCATTATCACTATTATTAATAAAATACTTATTATAAAGTAATATTTTTAATTATAATAGATTCATTTCATATCAATTATCAGTTTTAAATTCATCCATCGCACATTATCATCATTTATTATATTATTAATTATCATTATCACTATTATTATTGTTAATATTATTATTAATTGCTATCATTTATGCAATTATAATCAATTAGTATATATATATATGCAAATTAATTCAATGCTAGACCTTCTTGGTTGAAGAATTTTTAACTTTTGAAAGATTGTTTTCAGGAAGTGGCATATCGGATACATACTTTGAAAAGATTAAGTGCAATGCGAGCTTATAATCAAACGATGAAAGTTTTGATAAAATTAACAAAAAAATTAGGAATAAAATATCTGACAATAAATGATGCTAAATGGACATTTTGGGGATCAATTTTTTATTCATTTACTGTTTATACAACTATTGGTATGATAAATATACTAATCATTTAATTTCTTAAATTCTTTTATCAGTTGATAGTATGATTATAGTAATTATTTGTCTCCTAAAATAATCAAACAATTATTATTTAACCTTTAACCTCTGAATTTTATTATGCAAGCGTTAATTTGTTTAATTTGTGAATGATAATATAATTCATATTAATGATAATTCATATACAATTCATATAATACAATTCATATTAATGATAATTCATATTAATGATAATATAGTAATATTTGTCATTAATTGCGTATTATCATATTTAATAAAAAATTAGTTATATTATTGTCATTAATTGTCATTTTAATGAAATATTAATTGCCATTTTAATGAAATATTAATTGTCATTTTAATTCGTTTCACTTTTTAGTAAGTATATTTCAGGATACGGTAATATTTATCCGGTAACAACACTTGGACGTTTGTTAACATTAATTTATGCATTCATTGGTATACCGTTAGCATTATTCTCATTAATCGTATTAGGTGGATTGTTTGCACGATTTTGCAAAATGTTATGGATGATGATAGCGAAAACATTAGCTCGATCATCCCGATTAGTCTCGAAAGATCTTGAAAAACAAATCGTACGAATAAATTTATTAATTAATTTAATTTTTATAATGAAAAATATCATTAATTAAATTTTAGCAATCAATCAAACGAAATTCTATTTAAATTAATGCAAATATTACTTTGCATTTAACGAAAAATACTTTTTGTATCGTTCTATTTGCATTGATTACAATTTGAAAGTATTTCAATTAATTACATTTATATAATCAATAAAAATTTTAGTTGATAATTAATATGCTCGATTACTTTGTTACTAATTACCGAGATTTCTGTACAGCTGTGAAATTTTAGATATTCTTGTACTATGTTTTACTTTAAATAATATATTGAGAATTTAAAAGTCAAAATATCATTTGAAATTGAAAAACTTTGATTTAATAGTTAACTGAATTAGGTATTTAAAACTTTGATTTAGTAGTTATAATTTGATCTAATAGTTAAAAGTTTGACTTAATAAAAACTTTGATTTAATAGTTAACTGAATCAGGTATTTAAAAGTTTGATTTAATTGATAACTGAATCAGGTATTTAAAAGTTTGAAAACAAAAAATCGGTTTTTCTTTCTTTCTTCCTATCTTTTCTTTCAGGAAGAAAAAATGACATCATCAGAAATCGTTTTAGACGAATATGAGGAATTGCTCAAATTTCCGGTATTCGGTTTAATTTTGATAACAATTGTTTGGGTATTCATTTGTGCCGGATTATTGCTCATTTTCGAAAATGATTGGTCATATGGTATAAATTATCATTTACTATAAATTTAAATGATTTAAATTTTACTATGATATTTAAATTTTTTTCACGAAATGAATGTTATCATTTATCTTAACTTTATCATATCATTCATTAAATTACCTAAAATATAAATTTATTTCTTTTTTCAATAAATTATTTATTAATTTTGCGTATTTAAAACAAAAAAAATGGAAGTGTATTAATTAGAAAACAATGAAGTAATTACAGAACCTAAAGAATTACAGAATCCTCTGTAATTAATTAGAAAACAGAAAATAACTTTTGCAATTTGAGGTGTAAACGTATCTGCACTAATTTACATTTACACTTGCGTAGCGTAATTTATGTTATTTATTCACGTTAACCTATCAATGGTTACGTAGAAATTAACTTCGTCACTTTTAAGGTACATCACTTTATTTTATATTAATATCATTTACAACTATTGGATTTGGTGATGTCCTACCAAGTCAATTGGATTATATTGCGCATATTGCCTTTTGCTTATTAATTGGCCTTGCATTAGTTTCGACTGTCATTAATGTTATACAGCAACAAATTGAAGCGTTAGCTATGGTAGTTAATTAATCAATTAATTAATTTGAGTCGAAATTTTTGAAATTTTGCGCTTTAATTTTTAATACTATTAATTTATTCCATATCTAATTTAATACTTCACTAATTTGTGATATTTAATTTATATACATATTTATATTTATTTAAAGATTGTTTTTATTTTTATTTCATGTTAATTATCAGATATTCAAATATGTGATTCAATTTATCATTTCATTACCTGTCCAGTCGTGAAATCCTTCTAATACTTTTAATGCATTAATTAAAACAATTATTAAAGGTAAAGACTGTTTATAATTAAATGCTGTCAGGAAATTAATTATTATTATTTATTTGCTAGCATTCTTTTCATTCATTTTATAATTAATTTAAAAGCTAAATTTTTCATATTTCAGAAAATTATAAAAATTCTTAATTTTTAATGAGTGATAATTAAAAAACAATAAGTTTATTGTTTTTATTATTTTTTTTGCTTACTTAATTGCTAGGGAATGGATAAAAATATCGACAAAGAATATCAAAATGCTTTGGAAAATATCGGATTTGATGATGATCGATTCGAATATCATGCTGATGAAAATAATGATAATAATGGAAATAATGATAATACTAATCAGAAGCTAGCAAAAGGTAATTAATTAATTAGTTAATTAATTAAATGTAATATTTCATTAAAACATATTAGATTGTATTGAAAATTTTTCAAGAAAACTTCAACCTACAATAACTATATTAATGGATTAATTAATTTTTAATTAATTAATGAAATTTGTTGACTTGAATAATTTATTATTTCAAAATTGATTTCAAAAAAGATATATATGATTGAAAATAAAAATGAAAAATTTTTTTTAAGAAATAATTTTAAATTTTTAGTTAAAATTTTCACTTTCATAATTTCTTATATTTCATTAACTGAAATATAATCTTATCAATCAATTAATGTTGCAGAAGAAATTCCACTGATAAGTTCTGATAAAATTTTATCAGAATTGCCATTAAAGAGTCATATCTTATATAAAGTTATGCCAGAGTTAAATAAAAAACAAATTATGAAAAAGATTGAAATACGTGGACAACAACGAGTGAAATCAACGCAAACTGATGTATCACTTCTTGAAACATTGGTAAAATTTTTTTTATTTTAAATTATACAATTAATTTGGTTGCAATTAAAATTTATAATTAAATTAATTAACCAATGATAAGTTTCAACCTTTGTTAGAGAAATCCATTTAATATAATTCAAAATAATACATTGTATGAAAGATTTCTACTGGTAAATTTGCGCTGTAAGCAGGTGATAATCAATTTTCGCTTTCGTTTTGGGATTTTATATTTGTCATTGTTCTTTCTTTTATTGTTTGGAATCAAAGAAAATAAGAGATAAAAATTTTTTAAGAAATAATTAAATGGCCTAAAATTTCTTTCAAGAAATAATTAAATGGCCTAAAAAAATAGGAAATATTTAAATGGCCTAAAAAAATAAGAAATAATTAAATGGCCTAAAATTTTCTTAACGTCGAATAAAAATTTAAATAAGTAATCCATTTTTTTTTTGAGTTAAATTGTTAAATTGAAATAATTGATTTTTATTATTTATCAAATTCATAATTTTCGTTCCGTCAATTTACAGACATTTGTGGATTATTTGCTTATTAGTAAAATACATTTAAGTTAATAGAATTTAGGCACAAAAAAAATTTTGCTAATATTTTTATCAGTAATTATTATCACTACAGTAAGCTAAATTTAATATTTTTATCGATAATAATTGTTATTATTATGGTAAGCTAAGTTTAATATTTTTATTGATAATTATTATTATCACAATAAGCTAAGTTTAGTATTTCTACTAATAATTATTATTATCACAGCAGGCTAAATTTAATATTTTATCAGTAATTATTATTATCACAGTAAGCTAAATTTAATATTTTTATCGATAATTATTATTATTATTATGGTAAGCTAAGTTTAATATTTTTATTGATAATTATTATTATCACAGTAAGCTAAAAAATTTCATTCATCAAATAATACAACAAAATTGTTTTTATTGATATAGTAGAAAATCCTTTCAACTGTTAGTCAAATTTGCTACTCTGTTATTTCTTAGATACAATTAAAAATTTTTGATTAATTATAAAATTATTAATCGCTTTGATGTAATTGACAATATATGTTATTGGATATGTTATCATTTATAGTCTAAACTTATCTGATAAATGTTCAATTTAGACCAGATATCAAAACATTCGTTTTGAAAGCAATTAAAACAATTTAGTAACGTCTTGCAGCTATATGTGGCAACTATCTTATCGGCTATAGTAAGTTTTAATTTCAATTTTTTTCATTCATATCATTCTAAAGCAAAAAACCGATCTGTGTTGTACAATTAATTAGTGCAACTAATTTAATTAGATTACTTCGTTAATTAGAGTTCAATCATTGTATATACGATGAATATGATGTTTTAGTCATTGCTGAAAAGGAAAACTATTAGTTAAATTGTTTTTAAATTTTAAATTTTAATCTTTTAAATTTTTAGATTTCCCGACGAAAACAATGAAATTAAGAAGTGATTAATTATAGGTTGCAAAAATTATTTTATATGCAAATGAGTGCAATAATATTATTGAATTTGTTGTAAATAAAAAATTGTTTTCTTTTTTTCACTTCTAAAAGATAAATTAAAATTTGTGGAATAATTTAAAAATTTAAAATTTAATTTTTTGCTCTCTCATTTGTTTATCTAAGATTTAAGAGATAGAGAAATGTGATAAATACAATGAAAAAATTATCACATTTTATCATTTAAACCAATGATAATATTTCATTTCAAACTTTCGAATTTTAAATTTTAAATCACTTCAAAATGGAATATTCTAATTTTGCTTGTTGTTAATATTGCAAAGCAATTTGTGTATGCAAACATATACGAACAACAATATGCAAACTGCATGCAAACACTTATCTCTTCATTTTATTGTATTTATTTTTTGAATGTTTGAAACTTCTGAATCGAAAACAAAAATGTAATGGTACTTTATATGATGCAATCAATAAGAATATCAGTTGTAAAAAGTTAGATTTACTAATTGACTAATTAGTATAGGTAAATAAATTAATAATACAAAAATGAATTGATTCAATGTGGCGCAATTTGTTTAAAACTTTAAAAACTCAATTCATTACTAAACAATGAAATAAATGAATGAATGCAATTAATTCAATCTAATTTTAGGAAATAATTAATATATTAAATAAGAGGTAAGAAACGGAAAATTCATAAACAGACATATAGTTAAATTATCAATTTAAATAGTTTAATTTCAGTGGTCACTCAAATCATTGGTAATTTCCTTAGGAAACATTCAAACAATCAATCGATATAAAATGGAATAAATATTTATCAAATTCTTTTTTTACCTATTAGATTTAATAATCAAAATTTTTTTTAAAATCATTTCTAAGAAACGAAAGCAAATATTTTGATATCATTTAAGGTATGGAATAGTTTAGGAATATTTTCTGAATGAATCATTTAGGCGAATTTAAGATCAAAAAATCAGAAATGCATCTATTTTCTTCTAACTCTTTAACAATTCTCAAGTACCACTAAACATGATCAGGTTTAACTCATAACTGAAAATATGAAGGAGAAGAGAGGTTAAGTAAGAGCAATTAAAAAAAGGTCATTATTTAGTTAGGATGAAGAAAATGGAATGGATAATTTTCATGAACTTTGTCGAAAACAAATGGATGACATATATCCGTATAAACGTGGCAGCTGCTGCTCATGAAATCGGTACAGAATTTTGATTTCAAGAAAATTTTAGAAAAAAATTTTCTGAGAGTTATAAAAAATAAGGCGAATTTAAAAAAGTATTTTATTCATCAATAATTGTTGCCACCAATACCTACTGATCGGGTGGCCGAGTGGTTAAGGCGATGGACTGCTAATCCATTGGGGTTTCCCCGCGTGAGTTCGAATCTCATCCCGATCGAGCGTCCTTTTGCAAATTCAAATAGCAACTATTTCACTATGCCGCAGCAATTTATTGCAGCACAAAATTTTCCTCTTGAAACATTTGTTGCGACTTGCAAGCTTTTTGGATTATTAGTTATTAGCAATTATTAATATTCCTTAACAAAATATAATTCATGCAACAAACCAATAAAATATCTCTAAGAATGCTCCAATGAAAAACTGAAAATTTCTTTCGAAAAAGTTACAGGTAGTTTATCATTAACAAAGTATGCAAGAGAGATGTAAATAAGAGAGCATTTGATATCTCATTTGATAATGATGTCGTTTGATATCATTTGATATCTTTTTGTAATTAACAATTTGATATCACTTATTATTATATCTTCAACTTTTCACAAAACTTGCTCAACTCATTTTATATTAATACTTATCAAAATCATTAAGAATGCATTTTTCACTAATTGAATTCGGTCAGTGGTAGGCTCACCGTTCTGTGTGATTTTAACTCCTATTTTATTATGCATTTTAAAAGTTCGACAGCAAAAGTTTTGCCACATTTCGACTTTAATGGCACTCATCATTCTGTACAGGTATCAATGATAATTTTTCATTTATAGGTTACAGTATAACTACACAATAGAGAATCCAAAACTGAGCTAATCCTGTTATTTCCTAAAAGAAAAACTTTCTAAAAACTAAAAAGTAACTAAAAAGATTCAACAAACCTGTGATTTTCATTATCCTAATAAACACTTGGAAATTTCTTCCTAATTATCTTAACAAGAGCAAGTTGTTCTGATAAGAGTTAAGTTGCAGTTTATAACAAAAAGTAGGATATATGTAGATGAAAACGAAGAAGCTGTTATTGTGTTATGGATAACAACGATAATCATTTATCTTCTATTAATGCAAGCTGCATATCTGATGAATAAAAATCTATACATATGGTCTGCGGTTATGCAAGCAAAACATGTGAAAATGCTCCGTGATCGAGAATACATTCTACTTCGAGCATACAACCGAGAAATGCAATTCAGTAGGCTAATGCAAGAGAGAGCAGAAGATGAAGACACTATCTGATGAGGTAATGGTTGAATGAAATCCTTTTTGGTTTTAATCACACATGCTGTGTTTTACCAGATTCAATAAAAATATAAATCAACGGAATTAACAACTATCTGGTACAGATTTACTATACTTTACACGAAGATGATACATAATGCAGTAATTCAAAACACTTCCTACTTTGTCCTTGTATTACTAAAACCATGAAAGGTGTCAATTAAAGCAAGATTTGAGTGAATCACTTTTGCTAATATTGTAACAACGTTTATATACATTAACAGAAATTGATTGTTTAATTTCCTTCTTTTGTTTTTTTCTTTGCTCTGCAGTATTCATTCAAAAAAGATAGAGAAATTATAAAATTAAACATTTCAACAATATCTCTATGACTCCAAAAATGTTTCACTGACTGTCAGAAATATCAACAAAATATCACCCTCAAATAAAACCCTGTGAAATTTATAAAGCATTTCGTCCTTCGCCTTTCAAAAGGGCTTCATCAACTTTTGACCGAAAAATGAAAAACCAGAATAAAATATCATCAAAACAACCATCATATTTTCTAGTAGATGAAGCTTCGAAAGCTTCCCTAAGCGCATAATAGATTGCTTCAATTGTGGCAAGATGATAATCCGTCATGCCTCGCTGAAACCTTCATAAATGATCAAAAGCATTAAATGAAAATGATTCTTCTTCTTCTTGAACAGTACTGTATGATTCGGGAAAGCACATAAGCATCTCTATTCATTTTTATTTTATGAACGAAAGGAACACAAGTCAACAATAAACTGATAACGATTATTTAAAGTTCAACCTGAGGTCGCCAATATTTCGTTTTGTAAGATCGTAATGTCACAGCAGGAAGATTCTGTAACTGCGGTAAGAGCTTTAATCCCCCAATCTAAAAAAGATTATATTAATATTTATTCAAGCATATTTTAAAGGTCTTTTAAATCTCTTAAAAAAAGGACCTCGAAACTACTACCGAAGAATAATAGCTACTAAATTCGATGTCACAAAGGTAAACCTGAAACCATGTTGAGTCGAGGAACACAAAACGTCTGACAGGACCTCGTTTCTTGACAAAATCATATACAGAAGAAGCATTTTCGGAGTAAACTACCAACACCTGACAAAAGTGTGAGCTTACTCTTTTATTTCTTTCTTTGCAACACGATTTAATGGTACATGAAAAATCATTAATGGTTTTAATGAACAGAGTATTATTTAAGCATGATCACATAAAGATGAGGGATCAGAACAAAAAAATACCGTATTTTCGTGTTCATAGTTCGGTAAGTTATAATCAGGAACATTGGATGATTCATACAATGTAGTGGAAGATGGCGCAAGCAGAAGACAATGCAGTGCTGTACTTTTACTATTCTTTTCTTGTGGATGTTTGATAATATCAATATGAAATGGAAGCTGCAAATTGTATTACAAAGTAAATTCATTTTCTCCTTAAATTACAGTTAAACCAACTAAATAGATAAAGGCAGTGAACTTAAGATGTCATAATTTCAACAGCCTTCTGCCGAATATTTCTGCTCAAAAGCAACCCCGTAATCACAACACTAGCACAAGAAAAGAAAAGGATCTTCTATTTATTCCCGGATCTTCTCTACTCAAACTAATCTGATCATCTCATGAGCAGAATATTTTTCTATTTGAAAAGTGATTAAATCAATATATTATCAAATGTGGAACTCAACCTCCAATCGTGGAACCAATTGCTCCACACCAGGCATGTAAATTTTGCAGTTGTAACAAAAATACATTCGTTTTCGACCACAATTTGAACATACTTGCTTTTTTAAACCTTCCAAACTATTCCCATCAGATATTTTTAATCGCTCCATCTCATTTGTTGGTGCTGAAATAGAAAATAAGTAACGAAAAAAAGTAACATTGCATAGCTTTTTTATGGGGACCAATATTATTTCGTGAAAGTTTGCAATCCTTTTCTTTTATGCTAATTTATTTAGTTTGCTATAGCGACCATATCCCTGGCCTATTATCAAAGGCATGCATATCTTCAGATCCTACTTTAGTTGACAGTGTTTAGCGCCACTTTCTCAAATAAGAATGAAACAAATGAGATGCGAAATCAAAATATTTGCTGTGAATTGTGATCCCGACAATCAATATGAAAACAAACTTTCACATAAAGTTCACCGTCAAAATGTAAAAGTCGTAATCCCAGAATTGATATAAGTCTACTAAGCGACGTGCAGAACCATCTATGTTTAATAAATTTTGTATCCCGCACCTGGCTGTTGAATGTAGTCGTGAAAACCACCACAACTCTACCGCAATAAATTTATCGAAATGTATCCAGAGTCAAACTTGATTTGACATTACCAATCGATAACCACTATAATTTCTAACATTCCGAAATAATACCCGGTCGGGATCATTGTGCGTGTCAAAGTTTTATGAACATAAGAAACATCAATTAGAAAGTTGGAAATGATGATCATGATAGGACGCAAAAATTCCCACAAATCAGAAAAAAGCATTCAACTGGAATCGATATTATATTAATGTGTATCAGGTAAAAGAAAGCATTTCTCCAATACCTTTGTCTGCAATGCTGCAATTAGTACCATCGCAAACTTTATCGACATATGAGAAACAACCACATCCGTCAATGTAATACAAACTTCATGATGAGAGGAAGAAAAGAAACAAAACAATATAAAATCCATTAGAAATTATTAACTTGAATTAAAAATTTATTTTTGAATAGAAATACGAATTAATAAAGATAAGAGAACAAAAAAGCTCGAATTAAAGAGTCATATATAGAACATAAATTACCATCCACCGATAATTCTAAAATTCTTGAGGACATGAAAATGAAGGAATTTCATTCTTAGTCCTCCAAAGTTGTTCAAATTAACAAAGTTCTGATGTAAATTATTTGCCTGCAGTGGCTTCTGCAGCACGTCGCAATGCAGCACGTTTTCCTACCATAGCAGTAAATCCACTCTTGATAGCTGTAACAGAACATCGACTACCACATGTTTTACATTCTAAGAAAAACAAACGTGTATCTTTTGTCAATTCCGTCTCAGAAGACCTACATGTATGACACGTAACATATTCTTTAATGTATTTTCGCAAAACACTTTCAATATGCTTTTGTTGGAAGCGTCCTTTAACAATCAAACAGCTATTACCATCGATTGAACCAGTTGTACCCAATTCTGCTAACAGGAATTGCAGTACATGTTTCGGTTGTCGTTTCAGTAACCGACAAATTTCAGCAAAATTAGCGAATGCTGTCTTTTTACTACCAGCACGAGCTACCTGAGGTGGTTTCATGACGAATTTTTTCTTTTCACCAGCCGCCAATTCCGGATTCCGCTCACGCATTATACCAAAAACGAGTTCCAGCAATTGTTCATACGTGTAATCAGGCCATGGATTTTTTGAATCGATAAGATTTGATACACCAACACCCGCAACAAGTTCAGCTGCCTCTTCTGGAGAACGTCCCTCATCAACAATAGGCACCTTTGGCGCTTTTTTCTTCTTTTTCGGCCCCAATACCAGTTCTTCCGAGTCTGTGATTGGAGCTACATTTTCGTCTGTTTTTGGTGTGTCATCATCGAGTACGATTGGCTTCTTGGACTTCTTTTTTTTACCTGTTAAATCGAGTTTTAAATCATCATCAGCCATATTTCACCGCTTGTAAAACAAAATCTGCAATAAAAAAGATAATGAATAACAAATGGATGACATATAATGTTATGATATAGAATGTCTCCAAATTACTTTCATAATTCTTCAAAAGCTCCAGAGCAAAGAACTTTACTATCAAGTTGAGAGTCACATTTGAAGAAGCAACATTTTGCAGTTAAAAATCTCTAAAGTATTCAACTAATCTGACATATCAAAAAATGGATGATGCAACTGCACAAGAAGGAATGAGTAATGAATTATATCTCGCACAAAATGAATGCTATTTAACGTTTCCAGACTTTACTAAGCAGCTTAAATATAACCTTGCAAAGAGAAATCTTCGAGTACAAAATCAGCAGAACTCTTCGACAGTTTTCGCAAATGCGCTTTTCACTCGATTGTGTGCTACAATACAGAAATCGGTATGAAAACTGACAGAGAATATCACAACAATTTCCGCATAACTCTTCTGTATAAAGTGATGAATTTCAACAATTATACTTTAATTATCATAATTCTGTGGAAATACTTTTAATCTGTCAACACATTCAGAACGACAACATCCAAAACTAATATCTCAAACTGAGCACTTCGTTGCAAAACAAAAAAGTATAACATTTAAATGCCCAAATTTTCTCATAATCAATCGGTTAATGCGGATGTTAGGGGAACGTGTAGAAAAAGATAATGTCATATTTCGTTTCATAAACCACTAAATGTCAGATTCGCTTTTCCTTATAATTTTTCTAATAGATTATATCTCTGACACTTAGACCAGTGATGGAAAAATGTGAAAGAAAGCCTACAAAATCCGGACCTATTCGCCTCGTGCATTGCGGACTTGAAATCTGAAACCTAAATACGAAAAACAAAACATTATCATAATATCATAAAAAATATTTGCAAAGGAATTGAGAACCTGTAAAAAATGAACTTCAGAATTTATTTAATAAGGCATTATAAATGACTCTGTGATACAAAACAACTCATAAAATAGAATGGGGAACATGAACTTGCATTCTGAACAATGAAAATACAGCAAATCGGAAGAAGATAGAGTATAGCACTCCTATAATAGTTTTATCTTCATCTTCATCAAAAATTAGCTTCTACTATGAACTCCTACAGTAGAAAAATGTATCATTTAATTATTCTACGTCCGATAAACCTTAATAATACCACATTATTCACAGCAAAAAGAAAACAAACCCTATCACAATTCTTAGTTCGAATTAGTACAATAGCACCAGTGGACTTTTTCACTGGGAAGCCAAAAGAAAATACAAATAGAGAAACTTATTTTCCAGAATGACAGTGTCGAATCATAACTAGAATTAAAGTGAACAGTACAGAAATAGCTAGTTATTAAATAGAGAAAAATGCAGTACTTGTCGAATGAAAGTTCAGATACCCGCAAAATTAATGTACAGTAGACTAACAAATTATAACGCACCTTATCACGACACGGAACCGAATAAGAATTCTAAAAGGGACAATAATGAAAAATAGCCAGGAAAGACCAAAATACATCGAAATATGATTTTACTTTCAATGTTTGACAAAAAAATTTGAAAAGAAACGTCGTTTATTCTCTGCATCATTCTTTTCATCGGTGTTGCAATCTGTTTTAGTGTAGTTTGTCGCAATGGAATGCTCTGAATTGGAGGACAGTGCACGCTGATCACTGCTACTCGAACATGCACCAATATGACTATGTGTATCTGCAAAAAAAAAATTGATGAACGGCAACACAATAAACAGATTATTCAAAAACTAATTAACGATGACACACATTGGGAATTCTTCTTAGAAATTTCATTCATAATAATGTTTGGCATAAATTCACTTCACCAATAAGCGATTGTAATTTTAAGCAATGATAATTTGAGCATAAAAAAAAACAAACGATAAAAAAAAGGTTCAAAACTAATTTTAAATAATGCCGATTAGTTATTTTAGAAATACCGGTTAGTTATTTTATAAGTAGAAAATAACTAACCGGTATTGTTTAAAATTACATTCTTGTGCACTGGGCGGCGTAAAACCGAACGGAAATTAAAATTACTGATTTGCTGAACTTCCGTTCTGAAATGTCCCTCTGTTTTTTAATAAAAAATTACCAATATTTTCAAAACTTAGCAACGCATTTAGCAGCAATTTTGGAATGTGAAAAGTCTTGCTCTGCTGGATTTTATGAAAAAAGGATGTGGGTTGTAAGACAAAGCACAGATGCCTGATACAAGTTGGTAGTTTTGTTTGCTCCTTTATTAATAGCTTAAGTGATTCAAAAAAAAGCTAAATAGCTAAACATAAAATAAAAATTATCTAAGTATAAAACTTTTGATTCTCACTCTTTTTCAGATTCAGAAGCAACATCATCCGAAACAATTCTCTTCATGGTATCAAAAATTGCACGGATATGAAATCGATCAGCTTTAGAATCAGCAGAGTCACTTGAATGAGGAGAACGCATAACCTAAATAATCTCATGTTACCTCTCGAATATTACAAAAGCAAAATATTTAAATGCCAAAGCATCGCTGAAAGAATTCGGGAATATCGAAAATTTAATGCCCTTCCCTTCTGAGAAAAGAAAGGCATTAAATTTTCGTATTAACGTTTCATTTATGTCGAGCGATCAATAACTTAAAAATATTAGTAATCTTAGAACATGCAATAATTGTAATATTTGATTCATATCTTCACAAGATTATTGTTATGGACATTAAATCGTATAATCCGAATACTGAGAAATCTCTGTACCTGATGAACTTTAATCGAACTTGAAGATGACTGTTTTAAGTCTTTGCTTGTATCGCTAGGTTGACGGATTGCTTTGTCCGTCATTAATACCAAGTCATCGGGATCGTCACCTGTAAAAATGTAAAGAATTTTTTCTTTTACCGTGTATCCCCTTGTTTATGTTCGAAAATTAACTACTTGTAAAACTATCTACGCTTAAGTCTATTGTTGAAGTGGTATCATTTATCAGCATTTGTTATAAACTCACTACCAAATTACCTGAAGCATCCTCAGTAATGAAGCCACATTTTATATTGGAATATGTTTGCGCAACCCGAAGTGATGTGGCGCCGCCATTCGCAGCAGAAACGATGCTCGTTGCGAGACCACGACGTTTGCAAGCACCACCACACGACAAAGAATCTTCTCTGTGGCGATATAAATTTATTTATTACAACCAACAAAGTAACCTTAAAAAACCACCTACTCTAGAGACGCGATACGTAAAACAAACAATTATTTACATTAAAATAAAATTCTTTAGAATGCAAAAAAAAAAAAACAATATATACCGAGTGTGAGTATTTATTTCTTGCCGAGCATGCTGTTGACTTCCGCAAGAGCGTTCATCACCTGAAACTTTTGAAAACTTATAAAGTGTTAAAAATGGAATCTCTGACTTAAATCTTCCCAATCAGTTCCGAAGCAAGGATATTTTCACTGAAAAAGACAACAATAATCCAAAATATATATTCACTTAGATAAGCAAAAAATGAAACAATAAAGACTGAACAGCTATTTTTACCTGACGTTTCATTTATAACTATGGACGAATTTCTTTTATAAACTAGACACCTTTCAATTCTACAAATAACTCATTAAGTGACCTGATTTTGAAGGATCGATACAAACAATGGCGTTTTGTGATGATGGACTCAGATCTCTTTCACGGCAGTGCATCTGTGTTACAAAAATACGCCCACTGGCACTATCAGTGAGTGACTTCGCATCAACAACCGAACCTGACAAAGCAACAATGCTTGCCACTTCTTCGCAATAACTCACCACTTCTTGACCAGAACATACTGTTTGCAAACTCTGTAATCTTTAAAATATCATTTATTTTTTATGTTTATTAGTGATTTAATTTTTAGCTTTTCTTATTGAATCACGGTTATATGCATATACGACTAATAATAGTAACCGGACAAAAACCTTTTTTTCCAAAAGATGATCGAAATAGCCAGTGAACAAAAATAATATGAATAGCTCAATTCATGTTTTTCGCAGTGATAACTCAAAAAATATACATTCTAGTATTATTCTTTCCATGCAATCCATTAATGAGCTTTAATGAGCTTGAAAACATCCGCACAAATTAAATTTAACCTTGTCATCATTATACTGCGAACCAGCCATAGCTTTGGTGCTCGCCTCCTCATAGTTGCATTTCTCTCCTAAGCTGTTGATTCCTGAAATCTAAAGATCCGAATGGAAGGAACACACATCAATGTTAGATTATTGCCCGAATAATGCAATGATAAATTTACCTGATTCTATGCTTGGTCTACGGCGACATAACTCGGCCTGCACCTGTAAGCGGTTAGGCATCTGTTGCACACCTGATAAGCCACTATTTACAGATATTCTGGTTATGACGGATGTACCGTCCTGCCGCTCCATGTCGTTTAACAATGGGGATTTCTCATGGTTGCCTGCAATAAAAACAAAAAACAATCGTAACAACAATCGTAACATTCATAACCAAAAAGTCAGCAGGCATGCTGTAATAAAACTTACGCATATTCACTTCGTGCCAAATTTCGTCATCATCAAAATTATCTTGGTCCGGTTTTGACGAATCACTGCCAACACCACATCCACCATTTCTGCACAAAGACAGCGGTACGACGCCATAAACATAAGCTAGCATAATGGGGACTCCTACACCTGTAAATGTAAATGATGTACCTAGTTGACGTAACTGCTGTGAAACTTTGATTTGAGAAGTTTGTTGTTTCGCAGACAAAGATTGTTGGAGAGGTTTATTCTTGGTGGGAGTTCATTTTACTCTTCCTGATTTTATAACACAGCTGAAGGAGAGTATTGAAATTATAATACAATTATCAGATTATCAGAAAATATAGTCAATTGAGTTGACCACTTGGTTGGTCTTCATTTACCGTTGACCTGAGAAATAGTAATCAATTGGTCATTTTGTAGAGAAATGAACGGTGCAAGAAAGGCCAAAGGGATATTTGAGACAACAGACTAATAGTAAACAAAGAGTCACATGGTCATCTGAAAGATGAAACTATGATCAAACACGAAGAAGTTAGTGGATATAAACCGTTAGCGAAGAAGTTAATGGATATAAATCATTAGCGAATATACAAAGCTATCTTATCATTCGATGAGAAATACAATTTCTGTAACATAGATAACAAGAATATAAAGATATATTGAATATTTAAATATTTTTATATTGTAAAGTTATTTCGGCCTCCACAACAACCAGTCAATATTTCTTCCGTAAAATTATTAAAACGGATAAATACAAAATTTGTGACTCGTTATATTTAAGTGGTTTAAAAGACTGGATGAAAAACATAACTTCGAGCATAAAAATAATATTTTTTTAACAACAGAAAAACCAACCAACAGCCATTACAGCCAAAACTGGGCTAACGAATAGTGATCCAATTACACTTCCAGCCGTTAAACAACGTTTACGAATTTTAGTTAGATGAGCAAAACGCTGGTTCACTTTTCTGAAAAATATTAAAAGTACTAACATATCCAATATGACTGCTAAGTACTATGACTGCTGAACACCACGAAGTGCCAAGGTCTACGGAAATGTTTAAACAAAGGAAATGAAAGACGTATAACTATTAAAGTGTAAATGGCACATTTTCTCCCACAAATTCTGACTACCTGCATTATGATCTGAGACCTAATGTCAATGTATTGATCGATATTGCTGTAAAATTCAGAAGATATGGATAAGAAGTGCAATCAGCGCTAAGAATAAATAAGAAAAGAATAACTAAGGCCGTATTGATCAATATACTGAACAGGACAGAGATGAAGGAATCATTGATTAATTTATAGGTAGTTCAAAATATTGTGGCGCCAATATGACCACTTTCGAGTCGTTATCATACCTCCCGATTTCGAAGGATCAAGTAACTTTTAATATAATGAAAAAAATAAAAACCACGATTACTATTCTGTTACAAAGAATTACCTTCCAACAAATACGGGTACTCCAAAAATTATGCCTGGTATTGCCAAACCTGCAATCAATGCAATACCAACAGGTGCACCAATCAGAGTTCCAATTTGACACAGTAATTTCTTCTTTCTAGTCCAAGGTTTTTTTCCCCAAAAAGTGCACCCTGTGGGACTGAAAAAAAAGTTATTCAGCTCTCTCTTTCTGATCCAAAGCTTTTTGTCTTAACAAAAAACTAAACAGACATATCAATAAATCACCAAATAAACGCATTATTTTGCATTTCAGCTTTTTTTTATAGAGTAACTGCTTAATCTTTACCTTTACTGTTGATATAAAATATTTTAATTAACTGCCTTAAGTAATGCAGGTCATTGATTTCTCGTAAACAAAGCCAGCAGAATTGAGCGCTGCACATCGCACAAACCATATGATTGCATGAACCATCATTCATTTTGACAATGTATGTACGACATCGAGGACACGCTTTGATATCACCACCTAAATTCAATTAAATAATAAACATGAAAAAAAAACAATGACACATCACTTTATTATAATGCATTCCTGTAGTACGAAATGATATGAACCGACAACGAATTACTAAAAATTCTCACACAAATGTCATCTTAATAATGACCATGTGTCTTGTCCGAAAGTACCCAATGATTTAAAATGAAATAAGAAGGGTTAACAATTCTTGGAATACAGAAATATCATAGTACGTTTGAGGGTGCTTTCTTGTGCAGCCGAAAGTTGTGGCACCGTTCGTCGATATATTTCTCCACGTTCTTTACGAGCTTCATCACAGGTTTGACTGGCATGCCATGGTCCTTTGCAGTGATAACAAAAAAGTGCACCACAACCGGGTCGTTCACAACGTAGTTCGGGACAAGCAGCACATGCTGTTGCGATAACCGCGTACCTGAATTTCAATATTAATTTTAGACATAACAATTGGTGCACAACGACTAACCACATTTGTCTGTTAACACCTCCATATTTAAAAGAAATCGATATCTGCCGATAATTCCTATAAATTTCATATTTTCAAAAACAAAGGAACATATGAAATGAAAAAATGGAAAAACTAACGTGCAATCAGGTGCTGGACACCATCGAGTATCTGGATCCATCATTAAAACACGCCTCAATGCAAATGTTTCGTATTTTCTAATTAAATCAGGGCATTGTACCATTAAGGAATAAATATCAGTTGGATGAAGCAGCTCATTGCATTCGGGACATGTTAACTGCACTCTACTTTCCATTATTTCCACTTGCAAGTACTGAAAACAATTTGAAAGTCTAAAGACAGAAAAAAGCGTGTAAGAATAATAATTTGCTACTTGTTATAAATCTTAGACTTTGTTTTTATTTGTCGGTTATAAATATAAGGATACAAAAGACACTTAACTAGTAAATAAAACACAGTGAACAGTTTGACAGCTGTTTTTATTCACTTAAGTTTATTTCTAGAGTGTGTTCGCACTACAGGCGACGTGCCGTGCGCGCTAATTAAATCCTGTTGATCAAACAGAGATGTTCTAATTAGAGAAACTAACCTGCACAAGACAACTTTTACACGATCGATGATTGCAGCAAGAAAGACGAGGAAAATTTGCTAACGGTTGTCGAATGAAGCATAATGGACATTCCCAATATTTTCGACTCGGAGCAGAAGTATTCACTGGTGAATATTGTGGTATTGTTTGTTGTGAACTAGTATCAGATGTGGCCACTGCACCAAAACGTGAAGATTCTTCATTAATATTTTGTAATGTCTGCTCAAAGTCTGCTTCGCTACCATTAACACCAAAGCCTAATAATAATAAAAAACTGGAAAGTCCTTATAGTCATCTCACGAGACTTCATTTGTTACCCTCCTTACTGCGAAGTATAAATAAAACATAATCCATTCTCAAATTGCACTTATTAATATTTCATTCTGTTAATTATGAGTAATACTACCTACAATGAAACAATTACAGAATTGACACGAATACTTCATCGATATGTAAACGTAAAATAGCTTGAAAATAATGAAAGGTAATGTAAGCATCTAAATAAAAGATTAGACTTAACGACTTAAACATAAAACTACTTGGCATTTAGCGTCAACGTCCTTATTTATAAAATCTATGTGCTTCTATTTTCAATATGCAATATAACCACCAAATATTGTATTACCGGATATTTGGTTGTTGTAATAGAATGAATAACGTAAAAAACTTACTTTGTTTATCTTCACTATTTGTAAATTGTGATTGTTCACCGACACTTGATGAGCAGCTATCTTGAAGAATTCGGGAATCTAACTGTGGTACCGAGCCAGCATTTGCATTAGATAATGTGCGATCGTTATTTATTTGAATCATTTCATCGACACCCTTTGATGATGCTATATCTATTACACTACTACTTCTGAAATGGACATAGGTTTGTCATTTTTCATCATGAATGTACAACAACCATCGGGATCTTGTCTCGAATGGGGATCTTTTTTCATTCTCCTTAAAAATTTGCTAATTAGGGTAGTTCGTATTAGTATTTTTTTAAAAATACTTAGGAAAGCTATGTTAAATACTGACCTATCAAGGAAATAGCAAATAAATTTAAGAAAATCCAAATTACTATAATAAAATGCTTCATGTCACTACAAAAACGGTTCCATTAATAAGCTGTAACTTCTTTACATACGAATTCTTGGAAAAAACTAATGTGATACTCAGAAACAATAACGAAGAGGATTTTGGAGAAAAGCTTAATTTTAATATTGGAATATTGGAAAATTTGTGTAAATGCATAACAATCATAATTAAAAGTGTTTTCAATAAAATGCCAATTAACTCATGATCATGCATTGCATATACTTAACAAAAGATATATTATAACAAAAACAAATAGGGAGTGAATTATCTGCATGAAACAGAACAATAATCTCATTATGCTCTCTGACAGATCAAGATCGAAAACAAAGCATTCCTCCATGAAGAAATAGCTCACATATAAAACGTTAGGCCATTCAACGCCGGCGATTTAAACAAAAAACTGAAATGTATTTTGTTATGTCGAAAATCTACGGAAAAAAAGTTCCATTCAGGTTTTTCAATTTAAACAATCAACTAACAGTATTAATTACCATAATCGTTCATTAAAATTATCGAATGAATGATAACATTGAACTCTTAGTTGTTTTATTTACCAGCACGATTTACTGAAATTAAAAAACAAGCAGTACTGTTCCCCAAACAATTAATCAAGGCAATACATATACATGTTTCGAATAAAATGAACAGGATAAAGATTTTTCAACTGCAGGATATAGTTACTCTCGCTTATGGTTCCAAATGCAAATCGATCCCTTTTATGTCAATAATCGATAAGCTCTGACACAAAGAATTTACTTCTACACTCGACGGATAAAAATCAAATCCAATTACACATCACTAAATCCTCATTTTTCTTTGTCTAAACAGGTTATCCAGCCATTTCCCCACAACATTGCAGAATTATTTTGGAGTTAAAAAAATACATCAAGAGCCAAAATATATCAACCACAATTTTTTACTTATTTTCCTATCCTCAAAGGACAGGGATTGACAACGAAACTCTATGATTATCGAATTCACATAGGCATATCTTTCGATCTCGGTAACTTATAAGATTTTTCTCTGGAATATGCATAGTTCCTACATTTTCACTTTCCCTTTTGCCTGATGTGTTTTTTTAACGTAACCGTATATAAGTTCGCTCTAGCGAGAGTTTACAAATTTCAAATAATTTTTTAATGTAAAAAAACAGGCTTTTAGCAGCTTTTTTTAGCACATATTAATTAGTGTGTCCATAAATAACGTAAATCGTTCTGAAACGCCGATAGAAATTTATATATTTGGAGCTAGCTATTCTTTTTTGCCTTATCCAATTTTTCTAACTATTTCAACTTAATTCTTTCTGACCCTTATCCTGGTAAAGAATAGAAATGGAAAGTAAGACAGAACCAGTTTAATTTATAATCATAATCAATAATCAATCTTTTTTGTGTAACAAAATAACTTACATTTATAAGGCTTCATCTAAAGGCTCGCTATATACAATAATTTACTAAAAGGACGTATGTTCACATCACCACCACTGCCTCAGATTGTATTTTTTGAATGAAATAGAGTATTAAAAGCATCTATCAGAATATTATCTTCACTTATAACTTTTCTTTGCAATGTTTCAGTTTTGAAAGCATAAGTCAGAACAATAACTTAGATTTCAATATCATGCAAGAAAAGCCGGGCAATTGTGAATGAAAGATAAAAATGTCAAAAACTCGCAAAATTTCAACAAAATCGAGAAAATATTGCAGCTTACGCTTGCTCGAATACTCGATTAAATCAAACTACAGCCAAATTGGACTGTAATTTTAGAGGAGTCAAATAAACGTGAACTGAGATTAATATTAGTTGGATTGATTGACTGCACTCCATAATTACAATTCACTCTTGGTTTATTACACTCCGTAGTTATAATTCACTTTCGATTTATTACACTATCGATCAAATCGTAAAGGTCAAACACATCCTTATGATGAAACATCTAAAGAATAATACGACAGCACTGCAACTTCGAAAATATTAGAGAATAAAATTGCACATTGCTTCGATGGATGAAATTATGCTAATCAATAAGAGATAAAATAAGCGCGAACCTTTTGTATTTTCGATGCGATCGAGCATGAAATAATGACGCAAAATTCAATATGGACGGCTTCGCGTTAATCCATTTTCCCTTTTCCTTCTCATCATTTTTCGTTACCTCACCACATTCTTTCTCTACCAACAAAACAGTGTAAAGTTTTAGTGTCTGATCTTTCATAAGAAATAAGCTCACATCTGCATTTAATATCTGGCTCAAAATAATCGGTAAGTCAATTATTTGAAGTAAAATTAACTTTATCTAATACCGACTCAAGTCTTAATCCCATTCAGGGCAGTATAATTTTAGTCACAATTTTTCCTTCATCCTTCAAATTACAATTGCTTCGCTGGAAGTAATCTTAGATTGCTGAGAATAACTTCACTCTCCTTATAATAATTTTCTCCTTACCTGTTAAAAGTCCTGAACTATTTAAAACTGAAAGGTTGGCATCGCCCAGCAAAGATATCGAATCATCACAAATCTCTGTACATTCTGTAACCGTTCCAAGCGTCTTCTTCTGGCTCATCAATATCGTCTTTGCAAAATACTTATGTAAGTGCATAAATTGGCAAACTGCACAACATATGATCCCATTTATATTTACTCTGATCAAATTTCGTAAATTCTCTATCTCATATGTGTATTAAATACTTAAAATGAAGGAAATAAAATCTCAAGTGCTAATGTATTTCACATAATTCCCATTTTATTACTCTAAATAACGTATGATAAATATACAAATCACCAAAAGAAAAATATGATGAATGATTACGGAATAATATACAATATTAGGTATAATACTAATTCCATCCCATTATTTAAACATATAAATATGTGATGATGTGCACAAAAAATGTTAACATAACTGGCTCATAGATGATTCATAAGTTGTTCTTATCTATTCGTCATTTAACGTTGCTTACACCCTCTTAGCAATATATTATAAATTTTACGTAACGTAATGAACAAATGTAGTATAATGAATGCTTCAGGTAAATATATATCGTTTAGAAAGAGCGTTAAATGATTTTCTCTTTCCTCCATGTGTTTTTTTAGTGCTTTTCATAAACTTAATTACGTGTAAAATTTTATTGAAAATCCTAGATGAAACATTTGAAGGTGTTGTTATTTAATACACTCACTAAACAATATAACAAGTTGTAAAAGCTAAAATAAACAAACAGCCAACAGATGGAAAACAATTGCCCGAGCAAAGGTGATTATCCGCTCAATCACTCATTAAAATTATTCTTCGCTACTTCACATTAACACACTTTTCTTCTTTATCACTGTTCTTTATACGATTTTTTCCCTTTTTCTTTCTTATACATTACAACCTCAACTATCGTACGCTTTTCCTTTTCCATCACACTCTTTTACAATCCATCTTCACTCATTGCCTGGATTCTCTCTGTCATTGCCGCAGCTGCAAAATTTGATGGGTTCTTGAAAGATAAGGTTTGGAGTCGAATTGCTGTAGTATCCCCAGTTGGCGCATTTCATTTTCTTTGAGCTTTAGGAATATCCGGTATCTCAGTCCATTCTGTTCCATAGGTGGTTTTTAAACGTTGGAGGTTATTAGAATAGGAAAGCGTGAAAGAATAATTCCCTAATGTAAGGTAATTTTGCAACTGCAACTCATTCCTGTTAAATAGCTGGCTACAAAATACTTCGATTACCATTTATATGATCCATATTCACTTATTTGTATTCATGCTTGTTCTTATGGGTTTTCAACTACTCTCTGTTTTTGTTTTGTGTTCTTTTAGATTTATTTGTGAAACGAACCAACAAATAGCAAGATGAGCAAAACGCATCCACCCGAATTGAAAAAATATATGGACAAGCAGGTTGACCTAAAATTGAATGGCAATCGAAGTGTATCAGGCATTCTTCGAGGTTTTGATCCATTCATGAATATTGTTGTTGAGGACGCTGTCGAAAATTTAAAGGTTGTATATTATCATTCTTAGAGTTATTTGAGTAGAAGGGCTTAATTGACTGTTTATTTATTGGTAGAAGTTGATTTAGTGGATCTGTATTTTAAGAGAAAAGTTTAGTCTTAAAATGTGGATAGTACATCATTGATGCAATTGTATTTTGATTGTCAGAAAGTTTGGCGCTCTATTAAATCTTGAAGAGACTGCGTGGGTAGAAGACGAATCTTAATTTGTTGGGATAAGCTTACTACACATTACATTATCTTCATTTTACTTTTTCTGGTTTCATAATAAATATGTTATTTGTTATAGTTTAAGAAAATTCTATGCAGTAAGTTTGGCTTCAGCCTTCTACCTTTTACAAGTTCAATAGGAGTTCTTCCAGGCTGCAGAACTGATAACTCATAAGTTTTTTGCATTGTAGAATGGTGATAGAAATGAAATCGGGATGGTTGTCATTCGCGGTAACTCAATAGTTATTATGGAACCTAAAGAACGACTGGATCAACGATAGGGTTTTCATCGGCTTGTCGTTATTTTTATTGCTATTTGAATTTCAATGTCTTTTAAACCTTCCTTTTGATTTTTTTCTTAATTTTTAACAGTTCATTTGTTTTTAATCAATGTTCTTGTTGCGCAATAAGCTGGATTTGTATTGCAATTTTTATTGCTTTCAACAGCATTCCCTTAAGTTTCGGATTTAGCGTGAAATTTCCGCCAATGAATACTGAAATCAGTTGATAGCGTTTTTCACTATTTTGATCCACCCAGTTTTCCTCATTGTTTTTTTGTTGAACTTGCATAAAGGCTTGAGTGCTGAAATTGCAATAATATTTAAATGTATTTAACTTGATTTTCATTAAATTGCGCTTCGATTTTCATATTCTTGTCAAATTTTTGGTACAACAAAGTCTCTTTAATTCTTTTCAGACTTCCTTTTTATATCTTTTTGGCTGGATTTTGAGAGAGTTTTCCTTTAAGGATATGTGTCCTTCTCTAATGGTTGAAACGCTGCTAGAAGTGAAAAAAATGCCCTGAAATTCTTTGCAACTATAATTGCTCACCCTATCGCTATCTAGATTTTCACTACTGAAATGAACGCAATAACTAAGTGCAATGAAGAAAAAAATATTGCGAAATTTTTGCTAAATTACTTGCCATCAGGTTTGATTTCTCCAATTCTCAAACCTAAGGTTCTGATTATCGATGTTGAATACTGGCACAGACGTGCTCTTAAGCACTTTCTATGTTGTTTTACAGCATAGAAAATGGGGAAGATAAACAAGATTATCCATGAGTGCTTTAATGAATGAAAATCAGTTTAATACGAACTAGCGACTAGAACAAATTGAAGGGAAGAAAATTTTGTCTAAAATTTATTTGATATCCTAATTCGTGATTGTTAATTAAATTTCGAGCGCATTCAGTAGTTTTCTGTGATGGAAATATGTTTTTTAGAAATGAAGCATTTTTGCAATCAGTTGATTTTTTCTTGAAATTTTATAGAAAACGAAACTTTTATCAAGCAATAAGTGCAAGAAAGACTCATTGAAACGGATGGGACTTAATGAATTTAATTCAAGCTTATTAAATATCAATTTATGTCGAGCATTAACTATGGGTTCTTATTCGTTTGTAATATCGAACTTTTTCCAAAGTACACCGTTGATAATTGCAGTTGGCAGTTTGATTTTTTCACAGAAATCCCATCCATTTCGATTTAATTAGTTCGTTAGTGAGTATCACCAATTCGTATATCTGCTTCAATAACCAGACTTACTTTTTGCATCTCACTAATTCACTTAGTGAAATCGAAAAACCATAACAATAATAACCATTACTCTAAACAAACAAATAGATAAAAGCTAAACACAACATACATAAAATGTATACATTTCTTTGCAAAATGTTTCTTGTATTGACTGATAACTTGAAACATTTATTTTTCATTTATTTTTTCATATTGCTTCTAAAATTTTTGTTCGCTGAGAATTGCCAAATTCGAGCAATGATAAATTGACCGTCGTGTTAACGTTGCTACCAATTAGCAGGTCATCATCGTCGTCCAAGTTTAAGTTACTGTAATTTTTCTTTGGTTATTCGTTGACATCAACTTACTTTTTTGATTTTAATATTATCGTATTTTAGATAAGTGAAAATATAAGTGCACCTTGATCATGTAACTGATTTAATTGCATAGTATCAACACCATTGGGTGTGCAGCACTAAATCAGTATGGACTTTTGATAGCGATTAGTCTGACAAAATTTATGGCTGGAATTATATAAGTATTCAAATTTTGAGTAAAAACGAGTTTATATTGAAAGAAAATTGAAACGAACATATCCTCAAGCTCATCATTATCTTGATCATCTGCCATTAATGCTTCATACTCCTCTAAGCAGTACCTATCCCACTCGTTCAATTCTTCTTCACCATCAGTCTGTAATTACAAGAATTTCTTATAAATCATTTGAAGATTCATCATTGTCACAAGAAAGTGATTGTATGATATTAATTTCTCATTGTAAGTAAAGTAATGGAAAGGTACATAAATAGTTGGAAAAAACAAATAGTCCTTTTTATATTCAAATAATTAAGCATAAATCTAACCACTGTAGCTCGTTCTCCTTCACTGGCTTCCTGTTCATAGTACTTGACCCAGTTAACAAATGTATTGAAAAACCTGGCACATAAAGGACACTTCTTTAGATCCGATAATGAAACGACATTCGGTTGCCTCGGTCGTATTAGATCTAACAGCTGCAAAATACATTCATTTTAAAGTTCCTGAAATATTTGGCAATTCGATAATCATAGATTGAACCATGTTAAAATTCCCTGTTGAAGAGCATTAATTTTAAGACAATAAATTAAAAACTTGCATTACAAACTACATCATCGAAACGCATGGAATCGATATTATGTTGATCCATTTTATTTTTAATACCGTTGTAGAAATATTCCATCTCGTACATTGATAATAAACCATCACCATCTAAATCTAAGCATCGAAACCAATATTCCACGCTGTAAAAATTTGTAAAATTCAATAAACTTATCAAAGCAACAAACATAGAAACTCTGGTTCAAGCTTATCCAATTAATTTTCCACTTAATATAGGTTACCTGGAAGAGATTCCATTTAATTCATTTGACGACTAAAATCTTATAGTCTAATTAGCCACTTACAAGCTGCAAAGTATATAAAATAAATTAAAGAAAAGAAATAGGAAAATACCTGGTAGGATGCCTTTTATCTTCTTCAGCCAACAGAAATGCTACAAAATCCGTGTAACCGATAGTTTCAAGCGCTTCGCGGATACGTTTTCCCGCTGGCGATCTTGTCACTGCTCCGCTAAATATCCTATCGATAATTTGTGGTGGAAGTGCTGGAAATGATTAGTTTGAATTAAAATTAAATTTCTGTAAGCATATAATAATACCTTAGCAATTGTTATGACTATAAACATAATCTAGTGTGACCGTTATCATGATAATAACAATGATTTTGCCGCGTAGCTGACAAAATGAACAAAATTTTAGAGAAAAAAAATATACTCTCTAGATGTTTTCCATAGTAAAAAATTGATATTGAAAATTTCCACCTCCGTTACAATGTTGTGACATGTCGATTTTGCTGATAATTAAGTCGTGATCTTTATCCAATTCATAAAATTTGCAATAAATTACATAGAAGTGTTCGTAGCTAAAGTAATTTGTTATCGCATTGATATCATCCGTTGTTTCCAACTTCCTAACTGTCTAAAAAATTGAAGACAGAAGGAAAATCAAAAATTATAACTGTAACTTTTAATGGTTTCATATTTTAGCATGATGAAATTCGACGACAGAAATCTAACAAATAGATATAAATTGAATTGGATTATAAAATAATTAATTAAATCATCCTATTCGGATTATGAAATAATTAATTAAATCATCCTATTCTTATGCCTTCGTCTTTTTTCAGGAAATCAAAACTGATGAAAAAAGATCAGTTGTTGTAATCTTATTAAACAAATATTGTTACCTCTAGGAAATTCGATCGTCGCAGTTCATTAATTGTAATTCGTCCAGTCCATGATCTATTGACTGCCCAAAATATCCTTACTATTACCTAAAAGGCGACTGTGAAACTTGAAATAAATAGACGAATATAAGAGATGAAATAATTAAATAAACAAATCAATTTTAACATCGGCTTTTTATGTAAGCTTTGGCAAAATATGTGTTGATCTTATTGATATACTTTATGATATCAATAATCTTTCTAATTTAAAATATTTCAGTATTACAAATGAGATTTGATTGGAGTTTGGAATTTGAAAGATTTGATTGAGAGATTTGATTTCATACAAATTAAGGAATGAAAAAAAATAAAAGAACTTCTGAAATTAAATGAGAAGTAAAAATTCCGGTTTCATGGTAACGAACCGTTTCAATATATCTCGAATGAAATTCCTCAGCTTCACGAAGGAAATGCAACCCTGGGAAGGTTTCGATGAGATCTTTAAGGATTGGTGCCAGATCTTCTTTGGTTAAATAATTTCGATGAGGCCCAGCTAAAGTATACACAAAACGGGCTGCTTCATCATGTGCCGCTAAAGTCATTCTAAAAAGCACCAATATCATTTTTCAGGTCTGATGTAAAATTTGTCACAATTAAATTGAAGTTATTACCGCATGTGTAATATTTTGTCAGTCATTTGTGATATGAAGCTTAAAGAAATCTAGGAGGACATTAACTCAAAAATGGTAAGGACTGCGATTATTGGTACTGGACACTAGCGTTAAATGTATGATTATTGATAATGGACACTACCGCTAACATCTCACTATTTTGAAAGAATTATATTCAGTATAGAATCGAATTTTAATAACTTTCCAATCAGTGATAAGAGACTTCCTTCATTGATTATTGTACTTTAAATTTCCTTGCAACAACGATAAATGATATGATCAAATATAGCAAAATACCTATTCCACCAGGAAGCAAAATCAGCAAATGTAATTGATCTCGACGGATTGCTACAGCAGGAATCAAAAACAGCTCGCTTCCAGTAGATTGGAATACCGGCTGCTCTACATACTTCGGCCATATCGATCATTTCCACCTTAATTAAATTTGAAAAGCAAAAAAGTGGAAAGTTCAATGAAGTCCGAATTTTTTAACATTTTATTCAAATCTAGTGATATATGATACCTTATTTCCAATACCACTAAATACATCGCTAACTCGCCTCACTGCTGCTTCATTCTCGGATATCGAAATGGGAACTCCTTTCGGGAAAAAGAATCTTTAAAGAAAGGAAAGATCAATGATGAATATATTTCCATTAACCTTACTTTCATTTTTTTAAATGAAAACAATTATATGATGAAATATCACGGAGGATCGCTGTACCATTTTATACAACAATTTGTAAAATAATACTATCGATACGTTTCGTTTAGTTATTCCCTGATCGGTTGAATAATCTGATGGATTCACATCTATTCACATCCATCAGATTATTCAACCGATCAGAGAAGAACTCCTATCTGTAATAAGTAACTTCATCTCAAATCATTTTACTTACCTTGGAACATCAACAATTTGCACTTTTGGTAAAGGAGGAGTTTTAGGCCATTCCGGTTCCATTCCGATTCCTTTAACTCCATTCTGCTGTAAATGAAATTTGCCAGTAATCTAAATCTCTTTCTTTGCAAAAAAAAAAAAAAACACATATGTTGAAGATCTGATATACTATAATTATATTTATACTTAATAATCTTTTACTATAACGTAAATCTGGTACTTACGTAATATTCTGAATACATACAATTGTTGATTATAAAGTAGTAATATAATATTTAATAAAAAAGAAGGAAACATATCAAAATAACAAACTTAAATTATATTCCCAATATAAATTGAAATGAAGAAAGGAAGAGAAAAGGTAAGTACCATACCAAAGTTTTTCCAACATTGATATTACTGCATGGTTTATTGATGCTCGTTTTTGTCATTGCATTCTTCTTCTCCATACGTCGTTCCGCAATGCTTTGACACGATTTTAAATTTTCATTTTGACCACTGAAATGATATAAAAATTATCATTGTCCAGTTTATTATGATTGTCATTATTGTCCATTATTATCATTATTATTATTATCATTCTATTACTATCATTATCATTTATTATTATCATTGTCATCATTATCATTATCATTATTTAAATCATCATTGTCCTAACTATTTCGTTTTTTTATCTTGCTTATAGAATTGTATCACAAAAATTATTGTTCTGTGATACTAATATAATCCATATAAATAGCCTAAGGAATTTTACCTAACCTTTGATAAAGGTTAGAATTACAAATAAAAGAGAAGTAGCTAGCTTTACCTTGCTTTGTTTTTGATTTTAGAAGACTTTATCGGTGATTGAAGTACAAAGTTTTTGGCTTCTTGCAACTCTCTGTAATATTGATAATAATAAAATCAGTGGTTAATCAATAGATCATCATAGATAATCTTAAATCTTAATGCCTTTATAAACGAAAACTAAAACATACAAGATCATAAATTGATCGTCTGTTGCTATTTCTGCATTTGTCGTTGTGGTTGGAGTATTTTCAATATTTTGATATGAAATTTCTTCCTGAAATTGATAACTTGCTTTTTGAAATGATTTGTAAATAGGAAAGAATTTTTTAAAGGTTAAATAAAAGTTTCCGAAAATAATCTCAAATATAAATTAATTCTGGTAATTTATTAGATTTAAAATATGAAGAATTTGGAATGCTCACGAAAGAAACATCCTAAAAGTTTATTTCATAGAAATGTGTTGGAAATTATTTGTATGATAAATGGAACTTTTGAAATAATTATTACGGGACAGTGAGATATAGTCTACTGTCTGAAAGTTACACAACGTTCAATTAATAGTCGTCGATTCTGAAGTTTCATCTTATCGAGAATAAGATTTTCAAGAAAGTAATTTCAGGGTTGCAAAAAGAGTTTTTCTGTTCTAGAAAGAAAAATATTTTGATATAAAAAACTCAGTGAAATAATTTGTACTTTTCCGGTTTGGAAGGAAAAGAAGAGAGCGTTTTATGACAATATATTAATTTTCATCTGAATTTCTACGAACACTATCATGTTGTACTGCTACCTTTATAATTTGAATAGTCAGTTTGCCATTATTTGCCAGCAATAAATGTTTTGTTAACGAAGTTATGGGAGAGGGCATACAGCGGTGATGTTAAAAAAAAGGTGAAACAATCGAATGATACTGTCATATACTTATTAGAGCATATGATAGCATCATTCGAGCTGTCAAAATTAATTTAATTTAATTATACATAAATTTCACTAATGTAATGAGTTAAGATTTAGCTTTCGAATTATTAACTATGATTATTGGGCATGTTGTTATTATTAATTAAATCAATTTTGACAGCTATCTCAAATTTGAATATTTAAAATTGATTTTTAAAAATTAAGAAATTATAGCATATTTTGTTATACGTCTTTTCACGTTTTGGTATTGAATACACAGCAGAAAACATCTGTTGTTTTAATATAATTATTAATAATTATATTAAAAATTTTGACTTCGCTCCAAACTGATCCCATAACATTATTTTCTTCGAGCAATCACTTTATCTTAAAATAATAATAATCCCTATAATAATTAATAATTATAACAATAATTAATACTGTAATTTATAATAACAACAATAATTTGCAATAATAACGGTTAATAATAATAATTAGCGATAATAATTAATAATAATGATTATTAGCATTAATAATTATAATAACTAATAATAATAATAATTAATGACAGCAATAATAATTAATATTATTAATAAATAATAATTAATAATAATAAATAGTAATAATAATAATCAATAATAATAATAATAATAATAATTGTAATAATTAGATTAGTTATAGAACCTTAAGCATATTTGAGGAAGAAAAGAAATCTCTTTAAAATTCAGACGATAATTATTTAAGTGTTATTATTAATAATTAATTATGAAATAAGAGAAAAAGGAATACTTTTAACAAATACATTATTCAATCGATGGGAGCAATAAGGAGTCTAAGAGGTGCTAATAGTGAATGCTATTCGAGCTTCAGTAGAGAAGTATGATTATCGAATACCGTAAATAGCATTGAAAGTCTCAGAGCAATTCAACCGTTGAATATGAGAAAAATATCCCCCACACATATACATATATAAGGTTAAAGAATTCTGGTGCTGAAGAGAAGTGGAACAATAGCTATGATGTGCAATCTTCCCTAATGCTATTAACAAAATTAAAAGATATGATGTCAGTTGATATTTCATTTATCACGAAATAAGTCTATCACAAGCAATTCTTGTCGTAATTCTGATTTCAGTAATTGTTTAAAAAAATTGAAGATATATGATCACGAAATGTGTACTACTGAAAGTTCCTCTTACCTTAAATATCCACTTTAAAAATTTAACGTTAAAAAATTACGATTTTTTTTGCAACATTATTTGCTGAAATATTTTCACAGATATGATTGAAATGGAGAAAAAAAGTAGACAAAAGTCTCTGATATCAAATCTATGATATGATAGCAGTATTTCGAGTAGATCAGAGATGTGAATAGGTAAATAAACAAATGGTTAGGTAAACAAAAAAATGGACAAACAGATATGAAATGTTTTAGAAAAATGTGATGAGAAGGGGAGAACAGTGAAATGTGAAAATGAACATTTCCTATTTCACAATTTTATCGGACCTCTGTACTTGTTCAAATGTTATCGGATCTCTGTACTTGTTCAAAAATTTGAAGAATAGGTGTACGACATTAAGATAAACTGTTTGTTAATATTTGCGCCAACCAAACTAATCATATCATAGTTTATTATACCTTGTCTCTGTCTCAAAAGATATTGATGAAAATGTGCATGCATATAATAATTATCAAACAGTCTTGTTTGATAGTGAAAGTTATTTTTAATATAAATTTCAAAAAGTTTATGACAACTATTTTGATGACAGTTTCGTGTAGGATTAACAAAATTCGAATGGAACAGTGTTGGCTATGAAAAGAGCGCAAATGTTGCATGTAAATGTGCATGCACATAATGATTATTTTCAAATGTTGCATGGAAATGTGCATGCACATAATGATTATTTCACATGAAGAAATATGAAAATAATCATAATGTCTTCATATTTGTTCAAATTGCTTTGACTAAAATGATTTGGATAATATTCATAGTAATCAAAGGTGAGCGCAAATGAATATTTTACACTTAAATGTGCGAACACTTTTTTTGTACTTTTGTCATTTTGATAACAATTTCTTACATTTATGATTCTGAGACATTTGATCTTTTAAAGATTTAAATGATTAAATTTAAATGATAATAGGAAAGATTAGAAGATGAATCATATCGATATTGAAATGATTGAAAAAATTAAAGATGGCAGCGATTAGACAAGAATGATTAAAAATTGCTTACAGCGAGCACAGACTTGTTTTATTTCATCAAATAAAATGAATTGTTTGGTTAGAAAACAAAAAATTAAAAATTTGATAGGAAAAACAAATTCAGATCTTTTTATCATAAATTTAAATACTTTTACAACTTTTTTGAAAACTTAAAAAAATATATATAATTTTAAAAATTTTGAAAAAAAATTTGGTACGTAAAAAAGAAATGAAAATTTTGCATTTATTGCAAAATTAATTTACAGGAAGTTTAATGGTAGAAAATGTAAATGTAACCTTCTTAATTTATCTTGTAAATATATTTATTGGTTAGAATACCTTAGGTTCGATAAGTTGTTTGGATTGTGGAAATTCAAAGACTGATTTCTTATCGGTTAATGGTTGAATTAAGCGTGATGATGTACCACTTATATCAGCATGAATTACCGGTTTGGTACGATATACTGATGATCGAGGTGACATTGGTCCCAATGGTGACCTAACTGGTGAAGCCTGAAAAATGTATTTAAATTGTTGCGGATAAATTTAGTTGAATATTTTTAACAATGATATATTATTTTGTTATGTGTTCAATAATAAATTAATTTCATTCAAATTTGTATAAATGAAGACGAAAGATTTTTTTCAACATAAATAGTGGTAGATAATTATGCTATGATAAGAATATATCGTAAGTGATAATAACTCACTCATATTAATTTTCCATTTTAATTTGAGCTTTGATTACATTTCATAATCTCAAATTCATTTTTGTTTGAAAAATTGAAAATGAAAGTGAAAATTAAACTAAATTTTGTACTGTAATATACCGTATGCATTATTTTGTATTATTTTATACTGTAATATACCGTATGCATTATTATTTATTACATTTTAGGAAATTAATGGCGAGAAAATGTAATAAAAATATTTTGATGGAATAAATAAATAAGCAAAATTAATAACCTCATTTCTTTGTCGTTCGCCACTATTTAATGCACAAGCAATTCGTAAATTCGGTGCACCCGGTTTTTTCTCAAATTCAGATATACGCAATGCAACGCTACCATTGGAAGGTATCGGAAAATTTGGTGCACTTCCAAAACGTACGCCACTACGATTCACATAGATTGCTGCTACATTATTCAAACATTGGTGAAATTTCTTTTAAAAAAAAGAGCAAAAAAGTGAAACATTCAAAAATTGAAAAATCTCTCAAAAAGATTTAAATTATCATTTAAACTAATTAACATAAACTAATAACAGGTATTTATAATTTTTGAAAATTACCTTTTAAAAAAATTTTAAAAGCCTTTAAATGTTTTTTATCAGGATGTGATGGAAACGCTGAATTTCATCAAATTTATGATTCAAACATATGGAGAAAAAGAACAAAGAATTACTTCCACGTGGTTCAAATCCAGCTTGGATTAATTGTTCACGTATATTATGTTTGGGTTTTGGATGTGGTAAACCACTTGGAGCATTATAACTGGAACTTGCATCACTTGTAGCTTCAGGGCTTGGACTATGCATTAATAATGTACCATTCATTAATGTTGTTGATGCTGCAAGATATCGCTTTTTCAATTAAAAATTGATAGAATTAGTGTTTTTGTTTTAATTAGGAAGAGAGATATCTTTTAATTAATTAAAATGAATATTTTCTATTAAATAAAAACCATTAAAATTTTTGATTGAAAAATATTTTTGATTTAAATTATCTTTTCTAATATGAAAGCAACAATAATTGACTAATGTTGAAATAATGCAAAATATAATTTCTTGAAGATTTTTAAATTAAGCAAAAAGATCAGTACGTAGTGTAATTGTTATCATAATTTGATGAATCAAACTGTCAATTATCTGATTACTACTAAGATAAAGTAAGAAATACATTTAATTGCTAATATGATAATTTCATAACAATTCTGCATCAATCATATTTGAATATGGTAGATGAAATGAAAATTTAAATTTAAAAGAAAACAGATAAGTTAATATAACTTCGATAATTCACATTCTCTTTTACCAATTGAAGTGGACGTAGATAGATCATCAAGCGGAAATTTAGCACATCCACTGCTTCGATTAAGCGCATAATCGCTATTATTAAGTTCCGCTACGGCACTATCTAATGATGCAAAATTTGGCTCAGTAATACCTCCATCGATGTTGTTTTCTTTGATTTCCATCTGTAATTAATATACTTTACTTATAAAGAATCAGTCAGTGAATTTTTCAAACGTCAAACCTTTCTAATTTAAAAATCAAAGGTTCTTTATATCTTTTTGCTATTGCTATACTATTTTTGCCAAAAATGGTATATCATACGAAGTGGCTTACATTAACTGAAGGAACGTTAATTGATCGTCTGTTAATAACACGATCCGTTACTGGTGATGAATTTTTGGCTGCTTGCAAAAAATTTGCTTTTCGCTTTTCCAAATTATCGCCGAAAAATCGTCGACCTGATCGACCTGTACCACTTTCACTAGCCGGTTCACTTAATAATTCCACACGTTGAGCAGCTGTTAGTGGTGATGAGATACGTGGAGCTACTGAAATCATTTAAAGAATTGTTTTAGATTTTAGAAGATTAATATCAATCGATTACTGTTCGATCAATTGCAATAATAAAAAAAAACTATTGTTGAAAAAGGATACCCGGACGATTTTTGATAGTTGCGGCCCAAAAATCACCCAATTCTCGACGTGATGCCGGACGTTGTAATTCCGGCGCTTCGGCAGCACGACGTCGCTCAACTGCACTAGCAAGAAGTGATTTTCGTCTAGAAGGATCATAATAAAATCATGGATGAATTTATTTTTTATTATGTTAACAAAAAGACTGATAATTAGGCCAAGCAACAACGACGAACCTTCCATTGGAAACCAAATGTTCATTAACTGTAATATTCCCTTGACTTGCTGATTTTGCAAGCATTCTTTTTGGTGAAGTCGTCGATCCATTTGTGGCAAAATCATAACTATTGGACATTGTCTTATCCGATGATTGCCCAGTGTTACCAAAACGATTTCGCATCGTTGAAAATGATGATCTGAAATTAAAACAGTTCATTGAGATGTTAAAAAGATTAAATGTGCTTTGCAATAGATAATTGATTATCTAGAAAGTCTAAACTTCTTTACTTCAAAGTTTAAAAACAAACTTGCACTATATTACATATGCTAACTTCTGTAATTTTTTTCCACGCTAATTTTTCGAGGAGCTAAATTTTAAAACAAAATAATTTGTAAAACGATCATTTATAGTACAAACCGCCATTCTTTCGTTGATTTTGACATGTTTCCTTTTTCCTGTAATAATGATTCGTCCAGAAATGCGTCTAAACTGGAATAATCAACGGTAAGTGTTGGAGATTTTGACGTACTTTGGATATCACCGCTTCCTGTATGCTCTCCTAGAAGTATTTTTTCTTGTTTTTTCAATTATTCTATCATTTTAATAGCTTTCGATTAGAGATAAGCAAAAGGTTGTAGGTTAAATTATAAATTAAGTGTCAAACAATTTATCTCAACATTGATCTTTACTTCTTGTTATGGAATTAACTGATATTGTAATTATGTAAAACTTCATCACTTCAAAAGATTACACATGACATGATACGATTAGCACATTTTATCATATGTAATAGTTGTGTTCATTTCACGGTAAGATAGATATGATACAGTACGAAATTTATTTAATCAACCGAAGTGGATGTGATACTGGTATCAAATCTATTTAGCCAGACAAGATATGATATGGGACGAAATTTACTTAATTATCTCCGAGATAGATGTAATACTGGTGCCAAACCTACTCAACTAACCGAATAAGTATGACATGAATAGGAAACCTATTTATTCTCTTATATTAAAAAGAATTCTTTTAAATACAAGAATATCTTACTACAGCTGAACGAATGATTGTATTTAGGAGCGATCAGTGAAGTTGCACCATGAGATGACGAAATATTTGTTTGATGTTTGATTCGATAATTATTTGACTCTGAATCGTTTCGTGACAGATAATTCCAATTAGTGTCTTGATCGATGTATGGAACATCAATTAATGCATCTTCATTGGATGCTTCCTTTGGTATTGATAATTCAACAATTGGATATATCACGTTCGTGTGCTGATTATCAGTTGGACGATATGTTAAACGCTCAACTCGTCTATCGTGAGCGTGATAGATCTAAAAATATACAGCTAGAATAATGATAAAAGAAATTCATCAAATTAAATTTTAAAAGTAACAATTATGGCTTTTATTTATTTTAGCGCTTCAAATATTCAAATAGCCTATATGAGCATATATTAATGACATGATAGTTTATCACTAATAATACATGAAATCTTAGCAAAGAGTAATTTCTCAGATCACTAAAATGAATTCTTTGTTGATAAACATTAAATAGGAAAAATGGATAAATTATTAAATGAATCGTTGCTTAGGTAATAGGTTGCATTTCATTAAGTAATAATTGGGAGTGTTATAGCTTGTACAGATAATGTAAATAATAATAATAAATAATAAATAATAAACAATAATAAATAATAAATAATATAAATATTGATAAAATAATTATCACTGATAACAATGTAAAGTTTTAACCTTTTACTGCACTTGTTTAATTAAATTTACCTTTTAGATCTTATTATTGTTACTTTGTATATTTTACTTAACAATACAAAAGTATCATCAACAGTAGTTATTTGCAACTTTTGTAATTTCACGTATAATTTGTTATTGAAGTATAGGAAGTTTAGCATATTCAATATATTTGGGTATATTTGGAAGAGAAGAAAAATGGCAAACTTGGGGTTTTTTAATTGGCAGGCGATCTGTTTTTGAAATATCACAAGAAAATTGATCGGTTAATTCTATCCGATTGGAATATCTGGGCGCGTTTTGTGTTAACTGATTTGTTGTTCGATCTACGGAAAAAATCTTTTTTTCTATATTTTTAAGATTTTCAAAAAATATGAAATTAGCTAATGATGGGACTAGCTAAATTAGCTAATGATGGGATTTGAAAGATATGAATAGGTGACAAAATTTAATACGAAGTAAAAAAGCATAATGATAACAACAGAAAAACGATCAGCGATCGGTGATCAATGAGTTTGTTTCTCACTGGAAATGTGAATTTAGTATGGGCCTATTGACAAACACACGCACGCACACACACACACACACATACGTTTAATGAAACAAAACAATTCATCTCAATTGTCGCTTTTTTTAGGTCAAGGCTTTTACCGCCTTTTAGTCATTTTAATTTCTAACCTTAACTTAATGTAGAATTTTAAATTTTCCTAGCTTACTGCTAGTACTTACTGATTATGACTGATAGACGATGATCATTGTATAATTGAAAAAGAGAATGCCAAATTTCTATTACACTACTTTTTTGATGAAAAAAAGACTCAACAGCTGCACTGCTCAGATAGACAGATCGGACGTAAAAAGTTAGATCGAAGCCTTATTCGACTAAATGAAATCAACGAATTGAAATTGCTGACTGAAATTGTTTGAAAATTTGTAAACTAAATTTAAAGAAGTCTGAATTGTGTAAACTAAATTTGTAAATTAAACTTTTCATAAGCTCACTCCATTACGTAGTCTAATTAGCAGCTCATTAAATTAATCTCATTAAGTTCATCATTTGCAAAATTTCATCATTTCGTCTTACAAAAAGAATAATTAATTAGAAAAATTACCAGTGCTTTGTAAATGTGAATTGATGGATGGATTTAAATGGGAAGTAATTAATAAATTAACTTCTTCAGCAAGCTTTGAATTTCTTATTTGCTCGTTAAAATGATTATCAGGAATAGCAATGTTTAGATGATGATAATCTGTTGAATCTTTTGGTGCACGAAGACTGAAATCGTCGTGATGCTCCTCCACTGAATACAATTGTTGATTATGATTTAATGGTTTCTCTGAAAAACTACTAAACAAAAGCATAATTATTTAATTTGCATTAATTAATGATAAAAAACTAAACTTAAAAAAAATTTTTGCAGAATATGAAGAGAATAAATCGATGATAGTGATAACATTTTTGATAGTGATAACATAACAGTGATAACATTCTTGTTGCAAACAAAAAGGTAAATCTTATTGGAAAATTTTTGATTAAGAATGAGAGAATATATTTATTCTATGAAATGCAAATTTGGATTTCAATTCATTTCCGATGAATAAAAATATGAATAATTTTCATACTTAATTATAAATCAAATAATTATCAGTTTAATTATTGTGTTCAAAATATGATACTGTGAAAAGTATGACTACTTTTACCTGTTTGATAATCACGAAAATTGCTTTCTTCGTAACAAGAAAAATCCGTGTCGTAATATAGATGAGCAGTTTCAATACGTGGTCGTACAACGGGTTTGGAACGTGAAACACTATTACAAGAAGTTACACGTTGTGAATTTATTGAAGAATTATTGTGTACGTTTTGTTGAAAGTTTTCTGAAAACATCAATCCTATGTATTTTCCCCGATATATCTTTAATGTAATGTAATTTTACTATGGAAGAAAAATTAGCAATATATTAAATAACATGTTACTTTTGTTTAATTCTCATTTACATCCTTTTCTTCTCGATATATCTTTATGTGATGTAATTTTTGGTATAACCTGAATAATTAGCGTTGAATATAGATGATGAATGTGTTTGTTGAAGAGTTGAATAATGATTGTTCGTTGTTGCATATAACAAATTTTCTGAGCGATCACTAACACAAGAATCTTTCGGTGTAATTAAGAATCGCTGTTGATTCATCAAATTAAACAACAACGGATTGTATTACAATTTATAAGAGACAGTGAGAGAGAGAGATAAGAGCTTCTGAAACATTTTGTATGATGCTAAATTATTAACAGAAACTAATCACTGAGAAAATTTTTTCATAAATGAAATGCTTAATTTAATTTCCTCTAAAAAAAAAAGTACTTTGAAAAAGTAAATACTTTGTTTATAAAATTCAGTGTTTAAGCAGAATAATCGTAGATTGAAAAATAAAGCCGTACTGTAAGCATAACTATCTTCGGCTATAAAATATTTTCGCACGAGCGTGCAAAAGTAATTCCAATTACTTCATATGCATACGATAATCTGAAATAATTTGAATTTAAATTGAAAAGTGTGAGAATTGAGTAATTGAGTAATTGAGTATGTGATAGTGCTATTTGCTATCTTAGAAACGTATTAGAGAGATACAATGAAAGTTATAATAAGCGCATGAAATGTAAAGAAAGAATAAGCTAATGATATCTTTCATTTTTATGAAAACATTTTTTTACAGATCTAAAAAACTTTAATTATTTACGATCAGAGTACGCTACAGTGATAGAAATGTGTGGTATACTTTAGTAGTACAGTAGATTGTATCTATAAATCTTATCTTTACAAGAAGTAATTAATTAATTATCATTTTCCTGATATGAATATCCAAGAATGTTAATGCAGTAATTAACAACTGGATAGCAAAATTCAGCCTATATTATTATGGATGTTTAAATCCTGAAGTGATTTTTAGTAATTTCATTAATTGTAAGTTAAAGCAGTGAAGTAGGATAGCGAAGTATTCCTATTTACTACAATTATCTTGACCTTTCAGCGTACGACATTTTCAGGCATTTATTGACCTTTTCAAAGTAATCAATTATTTTATCATTATGTACTTCTCGACCAGTTCTTCGGCTAATGCATTACAAAAAGTGAAGTGAAATTATTAAGTTAGAAGAGGAAAGATTGAAATTGAAGTTGAAATAAGAGTTAGGAGTGGAATGCAAAAAACAGAATGAAAAAGAAAATAGTTTATGACCTTCCGAACATAAATAAATGACCAATTTAAATTAACTACTGTAATCATAACTGTCAATGGTACCTTAATGGAAGTGAATATATCTCTTATCACCATGGAGATAAGAAAGAAAATGGGATCTTCAAATATTAGTTATATCCATGAAATAATGCAATGCTCACTTAGCATTTTAAATCTTTCAGAATCATTCAATCTTATACTTTGACAACGAAGAAAAACGAGTCAGGAAAATATCGTTTCTTTTCTTTTTTTTACGAAATTATGAAAATTCAATAAATTGCTGAAAAGAGTTATAGAAATGAAAATATTTCAGTGAAGGAATAGTTTACACTTGTTTGAATTGATTTTTCACAGAATGAAATATTTACAAAATGATTAAAAGAGCATACTAACATACTCATCTGAAAGTTGCATACTCACTCATTTGAAACTAAAACATACTCACTCATCTGAGAATAAAAGTATTCTCACTCATCTGAAAGCTGTAAAGTATTCTCACTCATCTGAGAGCATTCTTACTCATCTGATAGTAAAGCATTCTCACTTATCTTTTAACTGTATCAAAATACTAGGTGAAGAATATAATCAATCAACAAATTATCCTGCAATCATACGAGATCGTTAAGATGAAATAAGATAAATTGAAATCATGGAAAACTTTATCTCTATCAATCAATATTTTACAATAAAATATAATTAGCAATAATAACATTTTTTCAATATTTTAACATTTTGTTAAAATTTTTAAACAACAAAAGTGAATTATTATGAAGTATATTTTAAAAGAAATAATAATTAAAACTAAGGTATTAATTAGATGTTGAAAATGTAGAAGTAAATTGTGACAGCGAATAATGAGTACTGAAGTTTGCAAATGAAATGAAAAGAAAAAGTGAAGAAAAAAGAAGGTATATGAGTTATAGTATTAACGATCGTTGATGGTATCGTCGATATGAAAAAGATATTGGGAAATGCAAACAGTGCAAATTATGACATGGCTGGAAATTTACCTGTAATATGCCACGACAATTGTATATGAATGATTCATTCTAACTTTAGTTGATATATATCTATATACATCAATTAATTAATATCTCATTAAACTGATATACTTTTTCTATCAATAGATTTGTTGATAGAAAATTATGCTAAATATTTTTTGATGTGACCGAAAATGAGATAATATTGATTGATAAGATTGTTGTCTCTTTTAGCAATGTAATCATCGTTGTTGTTATGAAAGCCATAATCTATGTTATACCTATAAACATTAATCTTTCGAGAAAAGAAAATGATATGATTGCTTTCCCTGCTGACATATTATCCGGTATTATAATCAATAATGATATTCATATTTGCGTTGATATAAATTTCCTAATCGTAATTAAATCATTTTCCTAGTTCTCTTAACAGATTACCATGCTGTATCTTGAGATTATTTCATCCATAAAACAATAATATATCATCTGGCAGGAAATTTTCTTTTTCTCTCATACCTTATTTTAAAAATAATGTTCGAAAACTTTTCCATAAAAAATTGCACATTTATTTTTACAACGTTTTGGTAATTGATATGAAGCAATGGAAAGGGAGAGATTTGTGGAAAATAGATTTAATGAAATATAAATAAATAATAATTAAACTTTTATTTGGGCGATATTACTATGTTAGTTGATATAAATTAATCTCTCAATCTTTTAATTAATAAATAATAAAATAATTTCAACCTTTTTAACTAATAAATATTTCAATCGAATAAATAAATAAATAAATAAATAATCGATAAGCTTTGATTCATCAAAAAGTTTTTACTTTCCCAAGTTGATATATCTTCCGTAGAAAAAATTAATTTAAATAAAATAAAAATAGAAATGAATTTGATATAGAAAGTAATACTATAAGAGCAAATAGAATTATAATTATTTGTAATAGAAATTTGCACTAAGAGAGAAGTGAAAAGTTAATGCTAAGTGTGGTGAGCTTCTTTTAAGAAAAAGGTGCGGTAAAGGATAGAAGACGAAGCAGAATGCAATATGATCGTTTAGATCTCGATCTGTGTTGTTGAAATCTTCCATCATCCATCTTCCACTACCATCACCACTACCGCCACCTTTGGGTCTTGCTTATTTTATTGGCGCAGACTTTGTAAATAATGAAAAAGATTGTGGAAATTGTTGTATACAAAGAAAGTGTAGAGAAGAATTGTTGCTACGAACTCCTGACCATTTCATCTATTTAACAAATATCAACAGTTGTTTCTCATCATCATCATCATCATCATCATCAATATCATCACCATCACCATCATTATTATTACCATCATCATTATCATCATCATCATCATCAATATCATCAGTAGCAGTAGCGATAGCAGTAAAAGTAGCACAAATGTTCCAGAAAGAATTTTGAGGGGAAGGAATGAGAAAGTTAGTCATAGCGGCAACTTTAGCAACTTAAAATCTATTACAAAGGGATGGATAAACTAATCATTAAATGTATGCTAGGAGAAAGAGAAGAGAGAAAAAGCGCAAAGATTTTATGATATCTAATCTGCAGTAGTAACATTATGAACTAAGAAGGAACTGTGATAATTATTAATGATCGATGTAAAAGTGTTGATTGCAATAGCTGTAAATTGTCGCATTAACAACAACATCTACTACATTTTATAGCAAGCTGTCCTTTTTTTTTCAAATGAATTTGAGCTGAACAGAGAAAGTTGAGAGGATCTAATAATTGAAGAAAATTTGCAATATTGGAGATCTTCAGCTTTTGCAAATTATTACACCTTCATATCACTATTGCATATTATTATAATAATAGAAGACTTATTGTTGCATGTGTGTATGTGCATATGTGTGTATGCGTGTGTTCTGATATTGCTATTAACGTTGAAGAAATTATTCGAATTGCAGAACTTATATGAATGATACAGAAACCTTAGCAGCTAACTATCTCTTAATTGATTAAGCTTCTTTTGTCTTTTTCGCACTTTGTTGTTTGTTTCAATAAATAATAATGTACTAGTTCAAAAATGATCTTTTCAATGAAAAGGTTGCTCTGTCATATCCTTCCTTACACATTACCTATTATGACAATTTTTACGGTATAATTGAGAGATATAATCGAATAAGTGGTAAAAACAAAAGGTAGAAAATGAACTTATACCGGTTTATATGAGAAGGATGAATATCGATAAGTAAAATTAAACGAACGATCATATCCATCTGATCTGATAGAAAGAGAAAATTTTATTTCTCCTACTGCAACACGTAGCACAAAAACAAGACATGAATTTTTTCCAATTCAGGAAATTTGCACATGGCAAATTATTTCTTAAATATAAGTTGCATTGCTGGAAGGATAACTGTTAGCTGGTTCATTCTGAGGGACACTTTTGGGGGTAGCGCAATATATGAGGTAACTGTTGATTTGTGATTAGGTTATGATATCTTATAGCAATGAGTCGATTTGATATTGTTGTGGAATATAATGCTCATAAGAGTTGGTATTGTAAGGTATTGAAAAATTCTAATTTTTCATTGTAAAAACAATTCCAATTATCATTGATTAATTAAACCAAAAATTTTTCTCCATTTGCAATGAACTATTTCATTTCTAAGCAATTGTAAATCTCTGGATCGTATTGTTAATCATAAACTAAGATAGTCCACAAGGCAGTGTTTTTATGTTATATATTTTGGATTTTGTTAACCAGTGTCCATAAATATTGCAGTGATGAAGTTTCGTTATCATCAAAGCCAATTCATTTGGATGATATTGATAGAAACGGTAATCGAAACAGATAATAACTGCAAGTATGAAATTATACTTCATATGATGAACATCAGAGGTTACTAAAGTTTGATTTAGCTCAAGTATGGCTTATCTTGGCATGATAAGATAGTCTTTTATTCCCTTATCTCGCGAAAACAAAATTCCAATATCTTCAACGATTGCTGTCCATTTGCAAATATAATAGTTATTATCTGTTTCGAGACCAATTCATTTTATTTTAGACATATATTATACTGTTTCCATTCATTTATTGTTGGTTCTTCGGATGTCCATGCAGTGGTCACAACATGCAAAATTCAAATTGGAATTTGAACGGAAGAGTAGGTATCCGGAGAAAAAATTTCATTGTTGCTAGAATACAAAAATTTATTCAATAATACCATTGTCATCATTATTATTATTATAATTCAAACAATTCCAAATTCTCACTTAGTAGCAGGGATAGTAATTGAGGTAGAAATGATTCCACAACTGGCATCATAATCGTGATTATTATCATTATGCAGGTACAACAATTCCCGCTAAGTATACATTTGTTTTTAGAAATGTAATTTATGTCCTTAAAACTACGTAATTCCAAAAGTAAAAGTTTTTAACCTATTTCAGTTATCATATTAATGTGTTTGCAGAAAGCAGTGGAAATATTGCTTCGGCAAAAATTACGAGCGAGCGAAAACGGATATGGTAAGAAAACAAAACAAGCCAAAACATACCGATGAGACCGACCAAGCAACAACAAATCCAAACGTAATCATTCAAGCCACAATTTTTGTAATTGTTTCAGGCATTTAATTTACATAATTTATTACTTAAGACCAAAATCTTTGAAGTTCCATTTTGAACAAAATTTGATTTTTCAAAAAGATGTACAGAAAATTAAATTCAAATAATGCTTCGAGCGGTCCGGCATTATAATACGCCACTAATTGGTGAAGGACATTACTTTAACTCCCTGGGACCTAGTGGAGGTGTTAATAACAACTACTGAAAGAAAGCAAGTTAAAAAGACCCTTTGATGTTAACTAACAGAAATCTTGACGATTTAAGCGAGTTCCATTTCAAAGTAATATCATGCCTTTTTTGCCATCAGCTAAAAAATTGTTCTTTTGGTTGACTTTTGATCATTTCAAGGCTTTAAAGTTATAACCAGTAAGCGATGAAGACCAAAAGAAAATGATCTTACATGCGCATGACCAATATATATATAAAAGAATTATCACACGCTGTAATTAACTTTTATCACAACCAAATGAAATTCACGTTTCCACCGACGCTTCCTCAATTTATACATTACTGCAGCATATATAATTCAGGGAAAGGAAGCTTCCTCGGTTTTTGCTAAGTCTCGAACCGCTCCTATTAAAGATATGACTATTCTGATATTAGAATTACTTGTTGTGTGTCCAACGAATTTGTTATCAAACAAATAGAACTAGAAAATATAAAGGACACCTAAAGGTCGGATTCTAGACACACACTGCAATGGATACAAAACCGTTCTCGTCTATTGCCAAGATTTGTACAAAATGCGTTGAAAAAAATACGAAAAGCCAAATTCTCGTTTCGCTGTATTTCAAGTGGAAATAATCCTGCAGATGTGGTTACCAGATGACTTTCTTTTATTCAATTCGCAGAATTTGAATCTGTGGAAAGATAGAAATGGTTAATAAGAAAATAATAAAATGGTCAATCTGGAAATATAATTACAACGAAGATCACAAAGAATATGAAAAGTGAAAGCAAAGATGAGATGATCACTACTCAAGTTAATACCAACAAAATTTTGAAACTAGTCGATGTAGATCGATTTAGCAAATGGTTTAAGTTAGTGAGAACAACTACATGAGCTTTAAAATTTATAAATTTAGGATCAAAGGAAAGAATTTCTTAGTTATAAATCTCATCACAGAAAAATCGACTTTGGTTAGGAATGTATTAATTAAACAAGCTCAGTTGAAGGAATGACGAAAGAAGAAATACTTAAATGGAATTTATATTATGAAGATGACTTATGGAAGTCTAAAAGTCGATTGGAAAACTCGGAATTGGATGAATATTGTTTACACCTACAGATCTTTTTAGACACAATAACATAACAGAAATCTTCATACAACAACACGAAGAGTTATGTCACGCTGGAATAGCCCATATATTTCAAGGTTAAAAAGATTTTGGACACCTAAAGAAAGCGCTAAAGTTAAAAGAAAATTGAATAAACCTATGGACTGTAAACGATGGAAGACAAAACCATCAAATTGTCATTTATGCTTAAATTTTCAGAAACTGGAGTAAAACGTTCTGGAACATTTGCATAACTTGGTCTGCATTACTTAGTCCAATTTTCATTAAAACTAAGACACGAGTTATAAAAAAAGTCTCTTCATTTACTTGCCTCACAACTAGAGTGGTACATTTTAAAGTGGCGAATAATTTTGCTGCAGAAAGTTTCTTAAATGTCCTTAGATTTGCAGCCCAACGGATTAACTCCAATTTCAAAATGATAATGTCAGTCAATTTCAATTGCTTTTTTAAACCATAACGAATCAAGAAATGCAATTGATCGATTTCGTAGCTCAAGCAGGAATGAAATGAAAAAACATAATTCCGAAAGCTCCCGGGAATAAAAGAATTTATGAGAGGATAATCAATTTAACTAAGAGAATTTTAAAAAAAGGCCATAGGCAGGAAACTGTGGGAGAAAAAGATTTGATTATGTAAACTTCGATGATTGTATAATTCTAAGATCAAACGACATTATCTCATCAAACGCCTTTTTAATTATGCCAATTGGTAATAACGATAATTAGGATGAATACATCTCTAAGAAGTTAAATACTTCAGATCAAATATTGATCAAGTACAATAGAAATTCTTGACACATTTTGGAAAACATGGGAAGATGAGTATTTAACTAGTTTAAAAGAACGTACCCAAATGCAGCAAAATTTCCAATGAAAACATAGAAAGAATTCCCGCTGAAGGAGAAATCGTATTAGTCCATCGCAGTAAGAAAATTAGCAAAAATAAGGAAACTAAATATAAGTTAAAATAAAAGGATAAGTATCGCGATAGAGCTATCAAACGGGAAGCTTTTAAATAGACTATAAATATATTATATCCTATGAAAATTAAACAGAAGGAGAAAAAGAACAATACTCCAATCGAACAGCAAAGAAACAAAGATTCTCTAAATAAAACCAAAGAATTTGATGAACCTACAGCACCATAATAAAACTCCAACAGAAACAAAGGACAATAACAAGGACACTTTCGGGAATGTTAGCAATTCGAAATAACTTTATAATATAAAAATATTTACATAAAGCATCGTTGAAATTTATATGATATAAAAATCTTTTGTCTTAAATATCCTCAATCACATAATTAATTTGCTTTGTTTAATATCTCAATTCTTTATTTTAACGAATACTACAAATGATTAGCATCAACTTTCATATTATTGGCTTTATCTATTATATGTTCAAGCAATTTTTGTTCATCATTAGTTCCATTGTCTACCATACATAGCGCTTACCGAACATTGCCCAATTCGAAAGAAACGTATTTCACTGCTCCGAAATGAAACAGTATTGCCATCTCCCAATTATTTTCCCGGATCAACAGTGAAGAATAACGAAATGATCGACTCAGTTGACTATATCTTCTGGTAATTGTATTATGTCAAGAAGAATTAACCTCTCATCAAATAATTACTACTGTTCGACTACTAAAGTAAAGCTCTTCTAAAATAATAAAAATCTGTTATAATGCACTACACTTTCCTCAATTTGAAGTTTTCAACTCCCACAACACAATCCAATGCTGATGTGTTACGGGATTGAGAACTAAAACTTTAAAAATCCGAGACATTTGATAGTGAGGCTGGTCAAGTGCTCTCCTGTTGGATTTAGCTTCCGGTCATACAAGACAAAATTTTCAGTGTAATTTTCTCAATTTAAGACGGCTGTGGTAAAAATTGAAAATAATGTCGTGGAAGGAAACATTTCACAATATAACTCAGATTTAGACTATTCCAATATGCCGATATAGCAGCAAATGAAGACCATGTATGTATGAAGTCTTAATCTCAAAATTCTCTTTTCTTCAGCTAATTATCGAAGGAGAGTGTAACGAATTCACGGATAACGTAAGACTCTAAAGTGAAATGACTTCATTACTTTTGTTGCCCAGAGATCATAAAATTTAATACCAATCATATTATATCCTTTGTGGCTTTTGCAATTACGCGAGTCACCAACAAATATCAAAGACATCTGGAATCATTTACGGCCTTTTACGAACATTTCAAATTGACAACTACATGCGACTGTGTAGAACAATGATGAGCGAAATTAAAGAAATTAAATAAACATTGTTAGACAAAGCTCCGCATTAAACAAAGTACATGCCCTTAAAAAGTGATGAAAATTCTGCAGTTCAGAAACTTGGGTTTTTTCAGAGGAAATAAGTCATTTAGTTTCTATTTTTTAAATAGAAATTTAAAGTTAATTTGTTTAACAACGAGCAAGGGTCACTTAGGATCATTAGAAGCGGTTAAGCAGTTAATGTGATCATCTCGATCGTAAGCTACAGAAAACAACAACGCATTTCTACTACTTTTTAATGAAAGTTGATGCAGTTATATCTATCAACAGCTACAAGGCGACAACTAAATTCTCTTAAGTAGATGAGGTTTAAGTAGACTACTTAAGTAGTCAACATGAAACAATTATGAATGGGAATTGACTATGATCTATGTGATATCTACAAGTAAAAAAAAGCTATAAATAGTAATTTTCAATCAAATAAACAAGAAGGTACTTAATAGTGGAAAATGATAATAGTGAAAAATAGATAAAGAAGCTCCTGGAATATAAGGGCAGTCTCTTTTTCTCCCTATAATTCTGAAAGTTTGAAATCAATAGTCATACAACGTATAATCGGAAGAAAAAATATGACACACATAGATATATCACAGAATGAGCAAGAACCTGATATATAAATATTGATTTTAAAACAGTCATTAAAAAACACCGAGTTTTCCAACTGAAATATAAATTAACAGTTATGCTAAACTAAACTGAGTGGTAATAAAGTGAAAGAACAAACAATAAATTTGAGAAAAATATAGGTACCAATAAATAACAAAGTGCAACAGAGCAATAGATGTATTATGATGTATTGTGCGTGGAATATTACCTTGCAAAAAAGCAGTGGAACAAGAGGACTGCTTAAAAGATACAAAAGATAAAGTAAGAAAGTTGCATTTGAAAAAAATTTAGATACTTTCATACAAGAATACTGACGTCTATTTTAAAATGATATTTTATCCAGGATTCAATAGACATAAGTATAATCTTAAGCAGCCGAAGAGCCGAGTCTGACATGCTTTTAGGTGAAAGTTGCTCTTAAGTATATCTAACGTTACGGTAGTTCCGAATCTGAATCATTAATGACTCTTTAAACTTCTATTTTCATGTCATGGGTATGCGAAGTTAAAATATGTTTGTTCAGGAAACGCATACGAAAAATATCTAATTCCATTAAAGATTTTGTTAGGTCAGATTTCTTTCAAATCAGTGCCTACAGTGGATACATGTTGTTCAAACACAACAATGTATTTAAAATGTCACCTCTCTATAAAAGAGCTCTTAATGTTACGAAGAAATCTCATAAAGGAATAGGCAGGGGAACCCGCTCAAAATTAAGAGTATGATAACAAATCGACAGCTGAAAAAAAATTTTTTGTATCAATTATCAATTAAACCCTCAAATTAACAAATTTTTTTTGTAAAAAAAAAATTATGTATCCTAACTGCATCTATTTCCAATAAGCATATATTACATAATAACCACGTATAAGAAACGAATGTAGATACAAACCAAATTTTCACATATAAGTAATTAGTTTCGAAAATTAATCCCAGATTTAGCACTTAACATTCCACCGATACCCATAAGTAATACCGCGTATCCTTGTCCATTTAGTTAACGATCATTTCACCCCAATGCTTCAGTCTTTTTGATAACCTCTTTTTCTTAAACCATGCAATAAGATCTGGATCCTTCGGGTCGCATTTTCCGTTATACCTAAATTTGGTTGATCTGAAGAAAGAAAATGGAAAAATTTTGAGGAAAAAGAAATGATTTGCCGTGATAGCTCATTTTTTAAATAACTGTTAGGTGTTTAAACATAGCAAAAACTCTTGTATGGATGTGTTACACAACAGTGCAAGCAATGCAATTGATTCTATCACTCATCATGAACAATAACTGAAGTGATATTGATACCAATGCTGTTAATGATAAATGATAAAAGAGAGAACATAAAAAAAGTTTTACTTTGTAGGTATGCAGTACGTTTCCTGGAATTCGAGGTAACGAGTCATTTTATCCCATTTTTCGTCATAATAGTAAGATGAAGGCTGCAGACCAAAATCATATGCAGAAAGATTTAACTTTTCCGGAGCTGCGTAAAAACGTTCCGAATTATACATGAAAGTTACGATGCCGTAATATGCGGTTCGTGGCATTCCAGACTGCAAAATCTCTAAAATTTGTGAGGAAAAAATAACAAAAATTGTTTTATCTACCTTTGATGGAACCATGGCAAAACTTGAATAAATCTTAACGGGCTTCAAAACGTAGCTGCGAAACACAACAGACATTTGATTTGCTTTAATTTTTCTTGACTCAATAAAGTAGAAACTTACCCTAATATCAAGCATCAATCCAACAGATTTTCCAAGCCGTCGATATTCCCTGGGCGTTTTATATGTAATAAAGAATGGACCGGATCCAGAAAAAGTCCCACCCAAAAATTCATCTACTGATAACATAGCAGCACGTGACATTATTTGATTTAATAAACTAAAAAAATATGCTTATATAATTCAGCATTCATGCAACACGTATTTTGAAAATAATCTTCAACTTGCGGGGAAAATTCTAGAAAAAAATGAATCCAGAATCGAATGTATGAGAAAAAAAAGAAGAGATGAAAATAAGCATGAACCTGTCGTAGTTAGTTTTGATTAAATAGCTTAAATCCAATTTCGAAAAATCAACTGCTACTTCAGGCAAACGAATAGAGGCCAGATATTTCTTGTACAGTCCACTGTAAACATTCCCTGTTACACATGAGAGCGCAGAAATCATTAAGAAAAACAAGGATTTCCCACATGCGTACTTACCCACTCGAACCTTTCCCCGCTAGGTTATTATTATGAGAAGTTCTTGAAACTTCTGGTCGGATACAAACTCTCTCTTTGCGTACATCTTGACGTCTCATCCAATCATCCCAGTACATCTCGGGCCAATTGGCTGATAATTCATTCCATAACTTTGCCGTAAGCATCCATCCTGAAAAAAGAAAATCGACAAATATGGTGAGATCTCATAAAAGCTTCGAAACAAAGATTCAAGTAGATATTAAAAGAGAAAAGTATGTGAAAATTCAGTCGGTAATTGTGATGCAAATAGATTAGGCTGTGCAAGACGTGACATGATTGAGTGATTAATGAAGTTGTGCTTTATTAGTAATGGCTACAGTATTTCCTAGTTGGCACCGTTTCAAGCTGGGGAAGTTTCTGAACGCTTGGAACAGACGCCTACAAACCTACATTAAAAAGCTTAAACCTTAGAAAACAAGTATAGAATCAATAAGCAATAATACCTAATCCTGGGAAAAAATCTGTTCTATAAAGTTTCTCTCCATGTTTACGATCAGTAATATCAGCACCTCCATTGTCGTTCCATGCACTGATACACCAAATCGTTTCATCAATAAGTAGTATTGGTTTTGATGCCGCAAAATACGAAAAGAAATCATCCGCTAAATCAAGATCATCTGAAAAGATCATTTATTTTAGAATAAAATAGATGCTTTAAAATGCATGCACAATCAGTTTTATGATAATAACTCTATGACAATTTAGAAAATATGATGGATTTGAAATCAACAGTGAATTTGATAACCTTCAGTAATGATCGCTATCTCATGCTTCATTTCAAAAAATACTTTGTCAAGAGCCCATTTATAATGATGTGCAATGCGAAAATAATTATTGGAAGCAGAATCCAAATCACCAGGATGCTTTGCTTCTTCCTTATACTGAAAGAAAAAATACCCAGATTATTGACAATGACCGAAGAAATAATCATTACCGCACTATTTAACGCAACAAGTCCATAGTTCAAAATTCTGCCTCGTCACTGCTCTTAAAAAATTGCAATTACCATAGAAAAATAAATTTGAAGATTGATTTCGGAAATTTGCTTATTATGTTCCAGTTCACAAGCAGCAAACTTACATGAATATAGCTAATTTTCTTTTCCTCATTAGTAAAAGATGAAATCGCTTCCATCACCGCCTGATTATCTCCGTCTTGACTGACAACAATGGGAAAATGTACGGCAGAAGGTCGTAATCTACAAAAAGCAAAATCGCTCTCACATTTGGACACACTTTTCGATTAAAGGTACCAGTCGAACAAATTATGAACGGACAACTCATATTACTTGTAAATAAATGTGAGAAAAACATTTCCATCCAAAAAATTTCTTCCATGATTAATTTAAAAACAAGTAAGAAGGGTGTAGCAAAAACTGTATCGGTCCGGACTTATGAAATCAATTGTAGCTGGTTAAGATAAAATTATTCTAGAAAAATCAGATAAGAATAAATTAGCAATAAAGCGATAGTAGGAATGTTTTAATCCATTAAAACTAATAATACAGCGCTATTTCAATTCAGTAAATATTGAAAATAAAAACGAACTTTATTAATTGATCTAAGTGATTTCTAATAGCACGTTCCCTTTTCGCTGCCATAACTAAAACCACAGCAATAGGTTTCCCATTATCGTTAACAACTGACTGTGTTATTTCTTGATCCGATAACAGATTCTAAATAATTTCAATATAAGAGAGAAAGAGATTAACTAAAATTTTCTCCTTTTCAAATTATCTGAAATCATAGTGAAATGTATGAGAAAATAAGTATCTAAGTTTTAGAAATATTTTATAACAGTTTTCATATATAAAAATGTTAATTTTTACTTTCTTCCAAATTTGATCCTTGTTGCATAAAAAAAATTAAACTTGGAAGAAAGTAAAAATAAACATTTAAAGTTTAACTCCAACTTCAATTGCTCAGTTGGGAGCTTAGTTACTAAAATTTCTAGAATCTTGCAATTATTCATTTACAAAAATTAATTTGAGAAACGATAACTTTGGCACCAGCTAAAACTGTCAATAAGATTAAAGATCAATAAGAAAAAAAAATATTTTTTCAAAAGATTAGTTACAAATCATTTTTAGCAAAGTAATTTACTTTAAATTTCGATGCAATATGTAATACATTTGTCTATCGGACCAAATTTTCCATTAATATGCGATTACCACAACAATAACCGAAAAGGTTGCGTAAAAATCTAAGTCATAAACATAACAAACCTGTGGCCTCTTATTGGAAGAATTGAATAATATGCCCCGTCCAATAAGAAGAAAAACTGACATGATAGAAAATGCGATAATACATCGACGTCGTATATAGCAGGCTTAAACAAAAGAGAAAAATGTGAGAAAACTATTGCAACTTTATCAGACGAAGAATGTTGGAAATGTAGATTGTTTCATGTGTCCTCTTTATCTTTCCATAACTATACCATATGAAGTATGCAGAGAAGGGAGTACTTTCCATGAAATCTTCCTAAACTTTATAAAAATCAGTAAACACTATCATAAAATGGGCTTATTCGAACACCACATTGTCCAATTGCTATCTAGATATTGAGCCCAAATGGAATCTCGGAATGGAGATCAAAGTATGGATCTATTTAAAAAACTTAAATCTTTGGAATATTTATTGTATTGTCACATATAAGTAAAGAAATAAATCTAACTAAGGAGTCGACTCAATTTGACCACTACCACGCACTTCGTTGTTCGCCTCCCTATCGATTCGTTTATCGGAGCTGATAGCATGACTGATGTCGTAAATTGCTTCCGATCACTTTTTTCCTTCTACTATATAATTATATGAGTTCATCTTTCTTTCTGTGTGCGATAATCTACCTTAAAAAAAGATTAGATAATTTTTAATATCATTTAATCCCTTTCTCACTCTCAACAGCGCCGGAATAAATGGGAGAAAAGAAAAAAAGAAGTCTATCAACATGAATAGACATACTTTGACACGGAAATATTGAAATAAGCTTAGGTGAGACAGCGGAAGCAGCGGCGTATTGGTGAGTATTCTTATCCTCTGACTGGAAACCGAATGGAGAAATAAGAGTTTGCAAATTCGAATAGAACAATTTCAAGAAATTTTAGTCAGTCTTAAGAAAAAAAGAAACTACAGTTCAGAGTTTATCAGATTCGAAATGAACTGCATTCTTTAATATTTATTGCAAAATGAGTCATCCATCTATTTTGTTTCGTTTCTTTTAACAAATTATTCCCAAAAGAGGAGGAAGGTCAAAGGCATCGATGTGTGTTGAAAAAAGCATCACTGCTGGTGGCAAATAAGCATTCAAGCGCTATGTGTCACATGAAATCAATTTGTGAAAAAAAGGTGGGTAGTCATTTTTTTCCACATAAATGGCAACATATTACCTCACCTGTCTCATCCCCTCACCTAACAGTCTGATAAAAAGTACCTTCACGCGAACTGAGAGGACCCAATTCATCAATTCATACTACTACCACCCAGAACCAAAACCGAAAATGCTAATCTCTATAACTGGTCGGACCGTAAAATTGACAAAGTGTAACCAACATCTCATTAGTGAAGGGAGCCAAGAAGTGGGGGAGTTGATTCATATCCTTTATCGAATATCCTGGCTGGGTTTCGTATCTTTACAGAAAAGATGGTAATGGTGGTAATGATCACTCGTATATAAGCTATTCTTTTGTTTTCCTGTAAACTGAACTCCGTTCTACTGTAAATTATCCTACATTATTATCCTTAGGAATTCTATAGAGTTATAGAGTTTGATCTCACCATGATGGGATTGAAATCCTATGCTGATGACCTTAAAATCGATATTCTATCTAGTCTCAAATATTAAGTATAATATAAACATACATGAATGGAAGATTTCTGAAAGTTCTTAGTTTCTGTTAATAAAAGAATAAAAAAAAGATGGATGACTAAGTTATTCACAAAAAAGGGATGACAGGAAGGCATCATATTATGCATTGTCTGGTAGTAACATATTCGTGTAATGTGAGATACGATTTCGGCAGCATTCGTTTTTATCGTGTTTGAACAATTAGTTTACATAGAAAGAAAAATGATAACCACATCGGGAAATGATTTTATGATGGTATAAGCATTTCTTGTAGTTAGTGAGAGAGAGAGAAAAGGATAAAAGTGTTTGATTGGTTGTCTAATGTTCTTTTTTTCTATAGGACAGAAGATTGAGTGGGCAAAAGATAGCTAACTTTTATGTCTTAAACAGCACCAAAAGTGATCATTTGAATTTTAAAACCAGCGCGGAGTATTTGGTAATTGTGGTAATATGCAATCTAGTAACGAAAGTTGAACCGTATATCTAATATTCTTCATAGATGGCATATGTTAACGCTGGGCCGCTTGCATCATTATTTGAGTTTCATTTTCTCTGTATACATCGAGAAGGTCAGATGTAATTTATTCACATTTCTCATTGAAATTGTTTAAACAGAGTTGGCATAAATGTTCAAAGTTTATTGCCTACTGTTTATCATTATATATTTACAAAACTGCGAATTCGTTTGTTCCCGCGCTTTTTGATGGTTCGAGATATTTCTCCCAGTCATACGGATACTCCGACACGCCGTTGTTTCGCAATGCATCAAGTAATAAATTTGTTATCTTCCTGTACTCTGGTTTCGAGTAATATCTAAAACTTATAACAATTGTTGCATAGAAAAAGTATTAAATATATGGAAAAATGAGAACTCATGATTTGTGCGAAACATTAATATGTTACTAACACCGTTCATTGATGAAGTGTAACCTAATGGAATCGATAAGTCTCATAATTGTGATGTATTCTCGTGGACAACCACCAAATAATTCTTTGATATATTCATCTTTGCGACAAAGTTGCTTACATTGGCCCACTTCATCCTTGTCTTCCATACTTTTCCATGGTAAATAACCGACTGTCAGCTCCACCAGAAAATTTGTTATAATAATGATGAAGAATAAAGATCGAGTGTTAAGAATTTGATTAATAGATGTCATGTCTGTTATTAGATCAATTGGAAAAGGATCCAAATATGCAGTTAAGCCCAACAAATAGGATCGAATTGGACCATATAATGTGGTTTATTTATTGATGGAACTTTTGCTGGAAATATTCTCATACGAGGGGAAAGAATGCTGGTAGCAGGTAACCGTACTGCTTTTTATCTAGAAATTGTTTCATTTTAAACAAATCGGCATATTGATCATGAGGTCTTGTAAATGATTAATTTAAAACTTCGTTATTTTAAGGACCGAAGAGAATGGATAATGCAAACTTGCTGATACATCCAACTTTCCAGGTCATCCTTTCTACATTGCTCACGTGATACATGACAGCTTATAGATGCATATCTGCAAACGATAGCTTGAAATCTAAATTTAACCTGAAGTTAACTGCAACATTCATAATGGGTTTAAAGAGGTCAAGTCATTACGATTAATTTAGAGGAGATAAATTTTCAAGTTTTAATCAAAAAAAATAACCTTTCCAGTTTGTCGATTTCAAAGATTTCCTTCAAAATTTATAGATGAATGAAATCTGAAAACGATTTCACGCTACCTGATAGTGCCGCGGAAACCAGCAGATCTTCGTGGATTACGTATGGATGATTGATCGTTAAGATATTTACGACACAGACCAAAGTCGAGTAAATAAATTTGTCGTAGATTTTTACGACCAATTGCAAAATTACCGGGTTTGATGTCACGATGCAAATATCTTAATGCATAATGACTTGCAAGCGCATCTTGTTGTAATCTTTTTGTTTTAAGATCTAAACATTTGGAAGTTTTAAAATCTTCTATGACAACTATAACTTACCCAATGTTGTGAAGCTCTTCGATTGCTTCCAAGCATTTCATACCTACTGAAAGTGCACAACCCATAGTGAATTTTTGTATTTTCTGCGTCGGGTCATGTTTTCTCAGATCCTACAATTTTATTTCCAAAGATGATTCAAAAAACTTTAATTTATACTCTTTTCGGTCTCGTCGAAACTTTCTTATTTACATACTCAACGATTTTTTCTTAGATGAAGATTTAAATAAGCGAACGAAATGGAATTACCGTAAGAGTCTGTCCAACCAGTGTCATCACTACATATTTATTTTCACCAACCAAACCGCTATCCAAAATATCACAGAAATGTGTCGCTTTTGCTTTCTTTAATTCTGTCAAAACATAATATTCTGCTTTCAACACCTATATTTCACAAGCTAAATACCGCTGTCATCTTCATTAATATTGGCGATCAAATTTTCTTGATGTTGGTAGAAAGTTAAAATATGCAATATAACCAGAGTTGCTGAGAGAAAAAAATTCAGAACCTTGAAAATTATCATTTTTTGTGCTTTACAAAAAATTTATTTAAATTATTAGTTGCCTAAAAAAATGACGTAATCCACATTTACTTTTGCGATCGCATTAACGCTTTCAGTTTTCATAGCATATTCACTTCCTTTGCTATCCTTTACCTGTAATTTCGTGAGTTCAAATTTATAAGCGATACTCGTTATTGAAAAATTTCTATAAGTATTTTCATAGCTATTACTTATAGATAAATGTATCGGTTAGTAATTATCATGAAAATGAGTAGTATAAAATTTTACCAAGTAAACGGCACTAAATCCACCTTCTCCAATTTTATCCAAAACAGTCCAACCACCAAGCACGTCACCAGGACGTAAATAAATTATTTTCATCCCATCTAAAATGTATTTTAAACTCTGTGAAGAGTTCTAAATTGAAAATTTCTTATTGAAATTGTATTTATTTTCAGCAGTTTAAATCATGACTCCAATAATTGTACATGCCTTCTATACAATCTATAAAATTACATGATATCACAGTGGAATGTAATTAGTTAGACCTTCTTTTAAATTTGGATTAACTTCCACCATTGCGTACCCCTGTAGAGTAGCGGTTATTCCGCAGAATTATAATTGTACAAAATAACTTTCACTAGAAACTGTACAGAATTTATAGCACCAAATTCTGATAAATTTACACAAAACTAATATGTTTTCTCATTTGCATACTCCGTCCATCCATTTAGTTAAATTGTATTTTGAGGTTCAACGCACTGAATTTCGAAGCATAATAAAAACTTCAAGCAAACATTTTGACCGAATGCTTAAATCAGTAATACGGCACTAATATAAACTGTACCATAAGCCATAAAACATTCTATGAAGAGTCCCAAATTGAAATATGTAAATTACTTAAATATTGAATAGGCACTTAAGCGTTTACATGTCATCCCATCACTACCATTAAATCACACTAGACCTCATTCTTGACAAACTTCACTCGCTTGTTTAATTTTTCTTCATTCCAGAGGTAGACTTATAGCTGAATTTTATTCACTTTGCAAAAAAACGTCCGTCAATTCTTTTATTTTTTGAACCAACAAGTAAGAAGTGGAAATAAGAATTCGTAAAATCGCTATCATCAAGTCATCTTGCACTCATTTGACAATAGTTGAAATGTTATTTTGAACTTTTAAAATGAAGTCGTAACTTTTTTCTGTTGGAAAAAGAAATTAAATATCCAATTGTAGCTTAAAACTACCTAGCAAATCTATAGTAATTTATATTAAGAACGTTACTGTAATTAATGTTAGTAGTTATTACTGTAATGTTAGCAGTAATTCTTGACTGATAGAATGTTATGTCTTAGGAAACACCTGGTTACTGAAAAAGTTTGTCTTCTTCAAATATAATTCCAAAAAACTCATGTACGTTTGACTCAAAAGACATTGATCGTTATTCCTGACTAGGACGGTAAAAGACTGTAATTTAGGAAAAAAGATAAAATGAACTTCTTCATAAACCATCACCTTAACAGAAATTTAAGCAAAAAAATTCCTTTAACAAATTTCAGAATTTGCCATTCTGCTCGTTCAAGAACTATAAACAGACCAATGATCTCAGCAGACTTAATCACAGCTATAATATAACTGAACATTTGAAGTAAATTTCAGGAAAGTATAAATGCATAAGTCGCAAACATTCTCAGGAAATAAGTTTTTTTCGAACAAATAATGCCACTTGCAAAATGATGTTGAAGTAATATTACTCGTTTCAATCATTTTAGCAGCCCATGATTATGGCGAGAATGGTATGTCAACTGCACTTCTCATTTTCAAGTTTTCCAAAGTTTTCACAATCTTCTCGTTAACTTTTGCAATCAATTCTTGCAGATTTTCCGAAGATGGGTGGTCGTCCGGAATGCACAGCAACTAAAATTCAAAGGAAAAATCAAATATAAATATGAAATATAAAAGAGCGCAAATTGTCCCCAGCAAACATTTTATGCGATCTATAACTCTCTAAATATTTGCTTTATGCGTAAGAATTGAAAATTAACAAAGCGGAGCAACTATTGGTCATAGACATACAATGGGTAGTATCAAAAGAGGAGATCTAGAGCGACTTCAGGGAAAGCAACTCCCACTAACTTCAAGAGAATTATAAGAACACAGAAAGTAAATTTACTTCAGGTCCACCGCCGTATATTGATTGGAAAAATAACCAAGCTTCACGAGGTAACTGCACATATTGCGAAGCACGTAAATGTGGTTTTGCACCACACGTATTACTACAAACCAGTATGGTGTTGTTATCAATAGATCCCGGTGGTTCTGGAATGCAATTAAAATATTAAGATACAAAAAAATTCTAGAAATGCAATAAATATTAACGATGTTGAACACTCGACAGGTTGTTAGTACACAATGTACAACATCAATTCACAAACTTAAAATTCAATCAGACTTGTAGCAGCTATAAGTAAGTATTGCCACTGAAAGTTTATTATGTGGTCATTTTTAAAATTATAGAAAATGGAACTTCAAATGCGATGTTTAGAAATTTAAAACTACCAAATTCATTTTCTTCAACAAATGCCTTCCACTTGTCAATCCAGGCTTTCGCGATAACATTTGGTGGCATGTAATAACCATAAGTAAGAGCTGGGATATCATTTTTCAACTGCTTCAGCTGTCCTTCCAATGTTAAGAACGCTTTGAGCTCAATTTCACGTTTATGCTTCATTTTTTGGAACTCATTTTGACAGGGTAAGCAGTAGTGCAACTCGGAACTTGCGGGTCCACCACCAAATCTAAATTTCAAATACTCGTCAGAATGCACAATGGCAAACAATGAGCAGAGTAAACTTTAGCATTAATAAATAGTATGACCAAAGCATGAGAATTATACTAGTTTAATAGCAGCACTTCTAATGAAAAACAGAACTGTGCTGCACAACCGAAGACTCCCCTTTGTCTTGCGCTGCACATAATAACATTGGCTTAAACTTACTTTTCATATAGAAAATCCCACAATAAATTGCTGATCGTTGCATAATAATCAGTAAGACATGCTGCTCTACGTGGAAGAATTTGTGAGTGTTGACAAAGAAAATCATAATTAGTAATAGGTCCAGGATTTGAAAACGTTGAAAAACGATGCAACCATTCTCGTGAAATATAGTTATGCAACGGGACCTCCACATGAAAAGAAATATTTGGATTGTGAAGTTTAATTTGAATTCGAATGATTTTAATCATGCGCACCAAACTGTCTATTCTTACTTCGTCTCAATAAATTGTCTAGTGCGCAAAGTAATGGCAGATTAACAGCCTTGTACATATTCTACTGATAATTTTTTAAAAGAAAAAGAAACATTATTACAGTCCAACCTTTGTTTTATCGTTCTCTTCAAGTATTTGTCTCACGCGAATCCGAATGTCGTCCATACTCTGCGATGACTGCCTCTGATAAAACAATACATAGGCTTCTTTACTTAAAATATCAGCTGTTTCCAACCGAGTTACCACAGTATCATCAAATTCGTACCAATTGTCATCCATCTCATTCTTGCAATAAGCAACATAATGCCCACCTCAAATAAAATGAATTTTATTCAGTAATTAAATATAAGACCAGAGGAAGATTATAAAATATCTCCATCATTAAATCAGCGAAATACTAATGAAAGATCATTCTTTAGGCAAATATTTCACTAATAACTCACTCTCAGCATTTGCACCATAATGTGTGATGAATGCAACTAAATCGTAGAGTACTGGTTCTTTGTTTTTTTCGAAATTGGAGATAAATGGCGTCAAATCCAAATCATGTACCGGAAATGTCACCATGTTCCGTATCTATAATACTTTTTTTAACAACTCAAAATTATGCTATATAAGATCAGTTTTAAATTAAAAAACTCAAAAAAACAAAAGAAAACAAACTTTAACTGAATACGATAGTTCATGTCGAAACCGTTTCAAATGTATGCATAAGATTTCTGGTGGATTGATGATTTTACAAATTTTGACACCATTTCGCAATCTAAAAACGCAAAAATTCAATTTTTAACGACATAAATTTAAATGAATTAGTGACCCAGTTGTGGATATTCCTTTTGAGACCATCAAGAATAAATAGTAAATAATTGCTAGAAGCTATTTTTTAATTACAAGATAGTCTTATTCCTCCTGCTTGACTGAGCATTTGCTGAACATAATCATATATAAGCCTATCAAACAGATCCTATCACCAAAGCTCAATAGTACTTCAATTATTCTGCCAAAAAATCTCCATACTTGGCACATTTTTCGCAAGAATACATATTTTCCCCGCAAAGATCATCCGGCAAAAAGAACGCTGCAAGTGCATCATTCAGAGAAACCAAATCTCCAAACAGATAATGATATACCGAACGAAACAAGTTCCCTCCAAGCCACCATGGCCACTTCCAAAAACTGCTGTTATTGCCATCATCTTCTTCCTGCAAATTATTTATAGCAAACAAAAAAAATTAGTAGACAGCAGTGAACCTGATATAACGCAAAGTACAATGTGCTTCCAAAAAAAACCTACTTGCTCATTCCTGCTTACTTTCCTGTCTTCGCTGTTTAGATCCATTGAGTATGACGCAATGCGCTCAAGTTGTTCTCTTGTAGGAATGCTCAATGATAAGTCCTTCAACGATCATTTCATAGCGAATAAATATGAAAACAGTCAATAAAAAACTGAAACCAAAGTTTAATTTGAGTTTTAAAATTGAGTTTTGTAAAAGTCTTTAACCCTAAACTAAGCAGCCTTCGAAAAAATTAAGCTAACCTGAAAAGTTTCACATGTTTCTGAAAGATGATGACACGTAAGACATTTTACAATACTACTTAAACGCCCATCAAAGACTTCTGTTACCAAACTTCGGTAATAAATCGGTGACCTAGATTTCCTGCTTCCTGAAACCTATTTAAATTTGCATGAAGACTTATGTAAACAGAGAAAACCAGAAAAGTTTATCAATTCAAAATCTTCAACGCTGCATAGACGAATTCATTAGTGTCAAATTAAATTCCATGTAATAATGAAACCAAGAAAGTTTCTGCATGTGGCAGAATTGCTATAATGTAAAAAGTAGTAAAACTTGATTACGTTGATCCGCTTCTGCTGATTCCTGTTGATTATCGGAATGAACTGGAATCTGTGTTAGTTGATGGCTGCATATGGGTTCCAAGTGTTTATTTGCCTTTGAAGCTGTAGGCATTTCCTGGAATAATCCGATGCTTCGAAAAATTTCAATCAAAACTATTCTGAAGAGATAAAAAAATACAAATGCTACACAGATATCTTCGTCAAATTCACTTACTCCATCAGAGCTCCAGCCACTATCAGCAGTTTCATATCGTTCATCATCATCAGATTCGCGACTACTGGAATGCGATGGAACGTATTTGTTCCGTATAAAACCAGAAATGATTTCATTTTTCGTCTGTATATTACAGCTATGTGTAATATTCCGATATTCCCACTATAAAAGACAAATTATTATGGATAATGAAAAACATGCGAAACTGAGTACATATGAGAATAAAAGTAACCGAAAATATATTTTAACTTACAGCAAAAACAGGTTGACGTAATTCGCGATGCAATACATCTAGAAGGCATCTAATAAATTCCTGAGCATCCTGCTGTGTCAGACCACAAAACTGTGGGTAATGATGGCGAACTTGCTAAAAAAAACTGTGAAATTATTTTCTTCAAATGTTACATATTTCACATAAATCATAAAAATAATTCATCTGAAAGTAGGACATACAGTAAGGAAAAGTTGTGGATTAATGCAACGACTTCGTTCCTCAGACCAAAGTGCTTGAAGTAGACAACGAAATGAACGTGAAACAGGCGGTTCTGCATTATTATCTAACATCTTTGAAGCAAAGGAAGCGACAGAATCAAGCGAACGGAAGAAGTCAGAAAAAGGAGGACAATTTGAGAGCGCTTGAACGGCTGCATTCATATAGCACGTATTACCCAAATTTGTTAGTCCTGTCAAACCTGCAAGCTTTCAAAATTAACACAGATATTGTTGCAACGACATTGATTTCTATCATACTGATGTTCACATTATAAGTTAAATTTTATAATACTAAATTTTATAATACTTATAATACATTATAAGTTAAATAAAAATACACAGTATAACAGCAAACCACGAGGATATATTTGATTTTCGTCCATTTCAATATCCATTACTGCTGGCTGCCAAACATCGCTGCGAGAATTGAATTCACGTCCAGTTGTTGCGTTTATTGGCAGAAACTATTAGAATCAAAAAATATATTTGAAAAATTAACGAAATAAATCAGAATTACTAATCATTCCGACGGAAAGTGATAAAATAACTACGATACTTCAGGTATAATGCTACAACCATATTTTTTTAATCAAAGTAAAGCTGTAGCAGATAAAACCCATATTTCATTTCCTCAGTCTCTAATTCATCAAAATCCGAGAGAACAACTCAAACAAAAACAGTACTCTAATATGAGTTTTTCTTTTGCTAGAATTTTGATTGGAGATAAAAGGCACTGCGGAAAAAATTGGTTCACTGCTAATACCGACAAGCATATTTGCAACTTCACTTCCAATTCTTGAGTCCTGCAACTTTTTCAAACTATGAGTAAAAAATATGTTGAATTATCAAAAAGTCGAGAATGGACGTCATTTTTTAAGATGGCCAACGACATTGTTGTCATTTATTCCGTCATTTATAGATTTATAGAGCCGTTATTTCAAGAGAAATCTTTTACGCACAAACTGAAATTTATAAACAAACTGAAATTTATAACTTATTAATTCATCCGAAACTAAACTAAATTACTAAAATAGGCGTTATCAAATTTGTTGAAAATAAGTGATAATATTGAAGAAAGAAGTTTATTAACCTCTCCAGTCAGGTACTGACTGGAGAAAGAAAAAAATTTCAAACGTTAAATAATGAGCTAGACTAACTAAATAATCTAAGTAGATAAGTTCTCCTGGATGATGGAATTATTGCAATAATTCCATAAAATATTCCGATGCTTTTTATTCAAGCAGCTAAGGATTTCAGCCCTAAAATAACTTCTCTCCACCACACTGCTGTCATCGTCAAGTCGATAAATCTTTTCGACGTGAATGGCTATTTAAATCGATGAAGATGCTTACCACATTTTGCTGTGATTTTGAAATTACATAGTTTGGGATATTTGCTCCATCAGTTCTGCAACGTGGAAGTGTCGCTCTCGAGGTGCGTTGCACTGTTTTCCTTGTTCCGTATTCTTTTGCATTTTTCTTTATTCTTTTTCTCGTCATTACATCTAACAATACCCACAATTTCTCCTATCCATGTGTACGACAAAATATTCACAATAATTATCACCTTCAAATATTGAAATTTTAAAACAGATTTCTCTTCAAAAAAAGTAATATGTAAGTTTCAGTTCCAAGTATATCTCTTCGCTATGTGATAAACCTCAGTGGACACACATACATACAGCACATACGTATATTCATTACCGGAAAAAATGGCTCTTGGAAAAAAATTTGACTACCTATAAAATTAGATATTATGAAACTTATTAATTTTCAATGTGAAACGTTTGGAAGTACCAAAATATAAATTAGCCTATGGTCCTAAACTTGCATGAAATAAAAGCAGGCATAAAATATAAGCCAATACCTGATGTTTAGCCTTTAATTATGTCAATAGAAAATAAATGAATAAAAAGGAGAAGACTAAACAACAAACATTAATATACATCTGACGCATAACTCAAACTTATCTTAAACATGCTTAAAAAAAGAAATAACAACCGCTCATACTGCCTTATATTATTCCCGATATTTACCAGTATTACTTTCAGTTTCAAATAACCAAAGCACTTCCTTGTCATAATTAAACCCTCTGCTCCTCCATTCCTGCTGCCAGTAGCATAAATAATGCTTAAGCTTGAATTACGGCGCTTTAAACATATATTCAGCTGCAATAGTCGCCATTTCTAAATGTCTCAATTCTGGCGCGCATATTTGAATCTCTGGCCAAATAAATATTTGGTCGTTATTGGTTTTATTTTTTAATTAGCCTGGGGATGAATTCCCATTTTTTTTCTCATCGTTAAATTTTCCACAACCTAAATTTACTGGGACTTTATTGCTATCACTAAGTGGGCAAAAGCTTTAGCGGCCTTTTTCTTACCCCCTCATATACATGTCAATGCAGGTTTTTTATCAACTTGCTTCCAACCATTTAAGTACGGAGGAATCCGAATCTGTTAGGGTGGGAAGCCTGAGAAATAATCGATGGTTTATAGGTTATATGTTGGAACAATACAGATACATGTAGTTGTAATGGATATATGAATTGAAGCAGAGTTATTGATATATTAGGATATGTTGACTTCAATAACCTTTACCACAAAAGAAATATTGCAAAAGAGGTATAATAAGAAAAGATTCTTGAAACACTTTTTTCCTCACCATTTCTCTCAATCTTCTCATTTCGTTTTGTTTTCGATCATTCGTTGTATATTTCCACTCGCTCCTAAAACAATTTATTCATTCCAGAACTGACATCTGATAATACCGAATTCCTTCCTAACGACTTCATTTGAATGGAAGAAAAACATAAACTGTTTGAAGCACTCGACGATGTGAGCAGCATCTTCTCGGAAATGAATGATGAGTGGACTGCTACGTGGTAAGCATTTCTTTTCGTATAGACTCAGAGAATCTGACTGGTTTTGAATGCGGTATGTCCGGTAATCCAGAACTGTTTTATATCTACTGACGGGTTTCTTATTTTGGGAGAATCTAGGTAATGGTCATTCCTACGTATGACATGTATGACATTCGCTTTTTCAGCTTTGACGATAATTTTTCGGACTTTGGCAGCTTCGCGCATGTAATACGATTCTCAATCCTTCAAGCTTTGGACTACTCACTGCGCCTTTCAGAATGTGAGTAATTGAATGAGTTCGGGGTATACAAAGATACTTTCCAAAATGAATAACAATCTTAGATAATTTCTGCCTTAGTTTGAATTTTTTTAGTGTGTGCTCGATTATTATTATATGGTGAGAAAGCAAATTCATCAGTCGAAATATGGCATGAAATGGCTGAAAGAAATTTTGATGCAAAAAAATTATGCGTTTTTGCGTGGTACTTGATTGAGCGGGGACAACAGCCTGATGTGTAAGCATTTGTTGCTGATAATTCTTCAGCTGTAAATTTTTTTCTTTTAATGTAATAGAAGGAAGGGTTTGTTGCGAATTTAGTAGATCGCTAGTGATTCGTTATTTATTAGATTAAATTTTTATATTGCTAAAATGCTTCATTTGAAGTTGATATTTTCAGAGTTTTCGAAATAGATTTATTTTCGTGATGATCAGTTATCATTTCATATTGCTTTATCCTCTCTTATTTCACGTAAAACTATCAATTCACTTAAATCAATTGGTTTCAGTTCTCTTGATGATCGAAAAGTCGGATTAATTGGTTCTCGAATTTATATCTCGTTGTGCTGTTTAAGGGGAGCGCAGGCTTTCAATATTTTCAATGATTATCTCTTCCAAGTGATTTTCTTTTCGGTTTTTTATTAAATTGGCCTTAAAGCTCATATTATATGAATAAAATTTCTAATTTTTATTTCAGAGGGCTGTAGAAGAATTGCGATTAATCCGCAGATTACTTAGTAACGGTCACTTTTCGACAACTAACAATCGTGTAGAAATAGGTGGAAATACCAAAAGTAAAAATAAGAAACTATTTGTCGCAAATAACTCAAAAACAAGGCATTCAGGTCCCTTTTACTTCGTTTAAAAAATATTATTTTTCCAAATATATAATTGCTTCGGCATACTCTATATGAAGATGCAGAAAACCATTAAAACAATTGCTGAATTGATATGATATGAAGCAATGTAATATACTATAATGTTAGCGCTTTCTTTCTTGCCAGACTTGCTAATGTAAATATTCAACTTGCTATAATAGTATTTTATTTTACATTTTTTTGCAGATTTCGAGCAACTGACTTTGGAGGACGGAACAGAATTAAGATATATGCTGTGTGACGTCCTGGATTCATTATTTGTATTCTTAAGCAGAGGTTTGCACACATAGCTGTTGATTCTGCTAATGTTGATATTTGTGGTTTGTTTACTCTAATATCTATATTTATTGTCTAGAAAATTTTCAGTATTTCAGGCCTACTTTCATCAACTCAGCAGTCTTCAACATCACTGGCAATTTTTTTGCAACAGCTTATGCAACTTGATTTTTCCGAAAAAACGTCCCTCTTAGAATGTAAACGGCTATCAGATTTCCAGGTTTGTTTCTTTTTGCTCTCCATAGCTTGATAATTTTCGCATTGAAAATCGTTTAATTTATTATAATATAAATAAAAATTTGTGGTTCGAGTATTGAAAAGTTTACCGTATATTGTTTACACTACTCTATAGAATTGCGGAAAACATTTTCAGAGATTGCAAGGTTTTTCTGATCGATCATTCGCTTTAATGCATCGCTTCTTGGATAATCAGCATGCTGTCTCTGGTGTGATATATGGAAGAATTATTATGCCGCGGCTATTGTTCTGGACACTTGAAAATGCCGTATTCCCCACGAATGCTCATCCACCGAAATTAATGAGCACTTATAAGGAGGCGATGCTGAATTTTATCAGAATAAGGATAGAGGTAAGGCAATAATTAAACAGTGTTATGAGCTTCAATTTTATATTCTACAAAGGTTTTGGATACATATTTTAATTTTATGGTTTCGTCCATTATAGAAACATATATACTCATATTACGCTTTTGTTAAAGAAAGAATCTGTTTGTTCTGTTATTTCCAATGAAAAGCAATTGAAAATTGTTTTAGAAAGATTTTGAAGAAGAGATGTCCACTATTTTATTGATGCTTCAAAATGTATGTTTTCGCTGTCCAGATCGCAGTGATTATCGTGCAAAAGTAGCGAATTCCGTTGTTGAAGTCCTTGCTCATTTGTCTCCCAAATATATCCGAGTAATTCTCATTGATGTTTAAAAAATAATTTATAGATTTTTTATTTTTTTTATAAAATCATATTACTTATCTCTTTGTGTTTATAGGATTTTGCTGCTTTCCTATTACTGACTGCCGCGAATTCAAAAGTTGCAGTTCGTAGTTTTGCTGTTGAAGTTGCGGTACCGTTTGTGAAGCAACATGGTGAATGTTGCAAATTTTTTGGAATAAGTTGGACTTTGTGTGTAACTCCTTCATTTTGAAATACTGATTCAAGTTCAGCTATTACAAAGCTTCTTCAGATTTGCTGATAAAATAATGTGGCGTAAATTACATCTGTAAGGATGCGATGTCTAATTTCAGAAATACTTTCAGGTCATATTCTTGAAGTTAGTTGTAAGCAAGAAAATGGAACTCATAACTTCGAACAAATGGATGAAAAGGTGATTTTTAAATCTTCTGTTTTTCTAGTCGCAAGAAATCTGCCATGCTACAATTGTCTTCTTTCCTCTCAGAGCAACAGGCTGACAAGTATCACTATGCCTATTTTTTGTTTGTTACTTGGGGAACGTTTATTCTATTGAACATGATTTGGTTGTCTTCTAAAACATGATTCATTCGAATCAAATTGCAACTTTTTGTTGAATAATAAATTTCAAGTTTATTCTTAGGATGTATCCAGTGGCGAAGAAGTATCGATGGAAGTAGATAAAGCTGAAGAAAATGGTACCATCAAACTTTATTCCTGGATACATTTCTTACGAATTTGCAACAAATATAAATTGTTGTTAAAATATTTTTAATAGTGTTCTGCGTATTCCAGATAATGATAACAGGCAGCGAGTTCGTAAGAAAGCAGAGAGAAAGAAAGCGATAAGGTTCGAATTTTTTAAACTATCTAGGTAGATAGGAAAATTCCTATGCTTCTATGTTTATTTCCATATAAATTGGAAAAATATTTATCTCCAAGAGTTGTTTTAAAATTATATTTTATGTTAGATATAGTTATAAAGTCTTTTAAAAGTATTTCATGATTACTTTTCTATGAGATTTTTCTAGCTAGTATTTTATCGGCAATTTGATTTACCATGTTTTGGTCTGCTTAACATCATCGAGTTTATGTGCTACTGCGGGATTCAAAAACCTGCCTGTCAGCTTTAATTTTTTGCTCTGCTATTACTACTTCCAAATAGTGATAAGGATCAAAAAAGGGAAAGGAGCTTATCCAATGAATAGTTATTTTAAAATTGTCATATAGTCGTAATATAAGCATGAAAAAATCTTAAATACTCTAAATATTTTAATCGCATCAAATTGCATATGTATGTTGATGATTTTGTTAATAAAACATTAAAGTGATTTTAAGAGCTATTTACAGTGATAATTTGGTGAGAAAAATCGGTCTTCACAATGCTATTTTGGTTCTTTTACTGAAAAGTTGTAATGATAAATCTCCAATGGTACGAACTAGAGCTTTGATGCAGGTTGCAATGTTGCTCAATCATGAAAATATACGCAACAAACTTTTGAATTTACCAAAAACTTCAGTAAGTTTAATGCGAATGCCTGTATCTCTTGTCTTTATTTTGATCTGGTTTAATTTGATGTTGTTGTGTTTATTAATGATTCACTCTTTCAACTAAAATATTCGATGATACTATCGTGTTGTATTACGAAAGTTTGAAAGGCCAAATCATTTTATAGGTGTATGTTTGCTGCAGTGAAAATGAGGATATTGAGAAGCATCAGGATGGTCCTGCACTTTTAAGAATTATAGCTTCTCGGTGTTTGGATGCGAGGGTACTGCTACATATTTTTCAAATTATAGTTTCTCTCAGTATTTTTGTTTAAAAATTAGAAAAATGATACCGTATGTTAACTCCTTTCTGAATTAGAAGAATATTTTCAGGTATCAACTCGTAGAGCAGCGATAATGGCTCTTGAATCACTTTTTCCAAGTCTTTCTGAATTACAAAGATCAGAATTTTTACCAATTTTCCAGGTGACGCTACATTTTAAAAAGGATAGTGTAATAAAGTCGAGTACAGAATAATCAAATCTCACAACTCAAGTACAATTAATCATATCTCTCTGTATTCCATACATTAGTAAAATAAATTGTTATGTATACTTTTCCAGCAGCGTTGTCGAGATCCCTCGCTGTTGGTAAGGAAGCAAGCTGCAGAATCCTTAAGCAATTTGCTTTTAATCATGGGTACGGATAGTAGCATGTATGATCAAGTTTGGCTCGCATCTGTTCTGCCTCTAATTAATGATTGTGAACAATCAGTTGTACAGCTTACTTCCAAATTAGTTTACGTAAGTTTCAGTTTTCATGTCTCTCTCTAAATTTCTTAGGTATAGATGAAGTTCTGCAACTTACTTTTTTTTAAATTTCAAGCTCGAATATTCAAATAGCTTTGTAATTTTGTTCAAAAGCCATTTTTATAATACTCTTGATTAAATAAAAAAAGCACTGCAGGAAACACTTATTTTGCCAGCTCTAGAAGACACGACATCTGTAGTTTGGCGTATTTTGGAAGCAGTAGAGCAGGAAGTCAATCATAGGTCCCATTTTTGTCTTTATTAAATTTTCTCGGATGATGATCTGTCCGTTCAATTCCATGTTAGTGGAAAGAGTGGAGAAGGGAAGAAGGAAGCTTGCTGTTAGATTTAAAATTCAAAATTGTTTTTCTTATATTTTTATCTTAATTGACACACATGTGTTTTTTGAGTATTTTACGAATTAAATTACAGGCGCTTACTATTGCGCTCTTTACTTCACCAGGCGAAAGAAGGAGGGTTATCGGAACATGTTGTTGACAGCCTGCTAAAGAAATGTAACGATTTGAAGAATGTGAATATTGTTTGGATGTTACTGAGCTTTTTAAGCAGTGTATTCAAGGTACAGAGTTTAAAATTTGGATCTTCCTGAAACCTTCTGTCTTCCTTCAATTCAATTTTGTCCGGAAGAAAATTAAAAAGTATCATGGCAAAAATTAGTGTGGGAACTAATACATTTAAAAATGACAACTCTTTTGTTTATCACTCACTTTCAATCATTTCAGATCGATGAGTCTGAAGCGATTCGTTTCTGGTACACACTAAATGAAAGTGATGAAAGTAATTTAGTTAGTTACGTCGCCGAAGTTATTGCGCGTTGTGCTGACAGCACAAGTGAAGCAAATCGGAACCAGCTGATTGAAAATTTTAGTGTAAAGTTAATTGAATTCAGGTAAAGCTGATAAAGTTATTTAGACTGGAAATCATATTGTGGATTTTGTGAATCTGTTTGTTTCTGTCTGGATTTCAAAAATTGAAACTTTTAAATTTTAGTGTCAACGAAGGTCACATCGCTCATGTCTACTACGCATTTGCCCGTCTATGTAGAGGTATTGGCGATGATTGTATAGGTGCTAAGCAATTCCTTGAATTTAATCGCATTTTGGTGGATAAATCACTTAAAATTTTGCACAACATCATTTTTCGTCCTATCGATGGCTCGGGTGAAGTTCTACTTTCTCAGGAAAAGTAAGTAAATTGAAGTAAGTGAAATAAGTAAACGGAAATTTTATTTAAATACGTTGCAACTTTATTCTTTTTGCTCACTTTAAATTGTCTCAGAAATTCATTTCCAGCGACAAAACATCAAAGCTTCTTGTACGAGTTATAAACTCACTGGGTGAAGCAATCCAATACAGTCCGATTTTACTAAGCATAAATCCGAAAGCCTTTGATATAATGCAGTTAATAATGGCTTCTGATGTGATACAGCAGCAGTTGATTCAAACAGGTTTGCAGAAATTCTGAACTTCACTTTAAACCTTTTTCTAAAACGTTCAAGACAGAGCCTCAGATTTTCAAAACAATGTCATTGCCTCGTTAATATTAATAGAATCAATGATATTGTCTAAGAAGTTTGAGGCTATGAAATGGTATCAAATCACTTTCTGTTTTACTAAATAATTAGTTCAGCATATCATTTAAAAAGAGCCTTGAACTGATAGATCTAAGTTTCATTTAAAACGGTAAGGAGATTTATGTTTTTGACTTTTTGCAATTACAGGTACTTTATGCAATACATTGCCAACAGTACCTTCAGTTCGTCCATCCACCGCCATCCATTGTTCTGATGTGGAAGTAAACTTTCTCTTCATATTTTATTTTATTTTGTGAGCGAATAACCTCACAATTGGATCAGAACGATTTCACAGTAGAGCAGTGGGCGTCTTGTCTTAGTAAGGTGAGGAAAGTTCGGAAAGTGGGGGGATGGATGAGAAAATAAAGAAAAATTGAGAAAGACAACATTATCAAGTTGAGCGAATGATCACGCTATAACCTCGTCGTCGTTTCATTCAATTTTTATGTTGAAGTTTTAAATTAATTTAAGGGTCTTATCAAGCAAGAATTACAGCAAGCTGATGTCCAACAAGATGGGCACTCTAATGTTCCTGAGCATCGTGGTTTTGCAACTGGCTTTCTTCGAAGCTCTAAATTTTCCATTCAACTTAATAATAATACGGAAGGTAGTCAGAAAGCATCTGCGTCGGCAAATCAAGAATGTAGGACGTCGCAACCAACCAGCCATGGATTAGGTCCGACATTTCTAGGCCAACATACTGTCAATATCGAGGTGTTGAGTCCAGCCGTAAGAGCACAAGCAGTTTTGGCCATTGGTAAAATGTGTCTCCAGGTAAATACAATTATTATCAACGAAAAATATTTCTTTTCTATGACTCTTATTGATCCTCATATTGTATCCTTATATTAATAGAATTTTAGGATGAAAAACTGGCAAAGAAATGCGTCCCAGTGCTGTCACGGCAGCTTTTAGTGAATAGTAATCACTTAGTCCGAAGCAATATTGTTGGTGTAATTTGCGATCTCTGCAAGAGGTTCTTTTAAATTTTACATAGTGCTAGAAAATTATATATTTTAATTTGAAAATCATAAAATCTTCTCATTTGTTGCTCACAAGCACATAGCTTCTTTTTGAATTTCAGTAATCTTATTGTTCAGGTACACATTGCTAGTTGACCGTCATAGTGCTATTATAGCTTCTTGCTTGAAAGATCCATCCACGCTGGTGCGGAAACAAACGCTCATGTTGTTGACGCACCTCATCAAAGAACAGTTTGTACGTTGGGCAGGACAGGTAATATTCATTGATTCAGTGTAGCAGAAAGCTAAAAATAATTTTTGGTGTTATTATTTCAGATTATGTACAGATTTGTGTCAACAATTTTGGACGAAAATCAAGAGGTTCGCAAATACGCAGAGCTATGTTTGGTAAGTGGCTTAAATAAGAAAGAATTACCAGGTTGTCTTTCAAATTTATACAATTTAAATTGTAATACTTCTATTTTAGGTTGATGTCCTGCTTGTGCAATTTCCGAACATGTTCGTAAATCATTTCTTGGAATGCCTTTTTTATTTCAATTCAGTTACACACAGTTTGTGGTTGACGACAAGTAATGGTGAAGTTTTACATGATAAATTCAAATCAGTGTTTCCTGACAAATTTACCATTAATTTACTGCTTTATTCTTATTCAGTCATGGAAGAAGATACAGCGGAAAGGCAAGACTTGAAGTGTTCTTTATCAGGGTTTCGATTAAAGAATGCGCGAATGAAACTTTACCGGTTCATGGTTGGTCCGCATGTTTTCAGTTTGAAATTCTCGATTTTTTGAACTCTATTTGGTAAATTGGAATCGGTTTAAATAGATTTCAAATGTTGCAGGGTTATGTTACTGTTGACATTGTTAACTAATCTATAATATAAGAGTGCAAAAGTATTACCAAGAATTTCTTATATTCCTGTTTAGATAAAAACATTTAATGATGAGAACAAATTTACCATTGGAATGCGTATTGGTCAGGAAGTCTACTCAGCTATTGTGGACGGTGTACTCGATATTTGCGATCGTCGTGTTAAAGCCTTGCTTGAAGATTGCTACGAAGTATGGTTTGCTTGTCTGTAGATCATTAAAATTTTTTTCTTTGAACTACTGAAAGGTTTGTTTATGAAAAATGTCTCTCTTTATAAAGCGTTGTATATTGTGCTATATGCTGTACTGATGACAGATAATGTGTTGCCCAGAAATGAAATTATCGATGGCTCTGGGTAGAAGATCGCCAAATGAAGAGGATGAAGATGATGATGATGAACCGCCATCCAACATTCAGGTAGTGCCTTCATAAGTCGTCTTTGCCGCTGTTTGCTCCGTTACTAAGTGGCAATATGGAAGAATCTATACTGTGAATAGGAATTTAAATTAAAGATAAGTTAAAACGATAAAATAAAATTTTAGGAGGCAGCGAAAAAGGTTGTAACACAAGCTTTCCGAAGAGGTATCATTGATGCCATTTTACCTCACGTTATACAGCTGAAATATTACCTGCAAGAGAAGCGCCTTCCTGAACTGGAATTTGGAATCATCAGAGTTCTGAGGTGGTATCGAACTCTACAGTTGATTTGTACTTATTTCAAAAATTTTCAAAATTTGCTATTTTATGAGATTCATTTTTTAGGGAACTGTGTAAAGATCACCGTGAGCAGTTAGATGAATTTCTAGCAAGCGATAAGCAATTAAAAGCTGAAATAAAGTTCGATCTCGAGAAATTAGAGGTATATATTTTATAATATTTTGGTTTTCCTTTATTCGGTGAAATTGAGGATGAATGATAACTAAACTTTAAGATTTTTAGTCCTTTTAGTTTTTATTATGGAGTATGTCTTCATTAAGGGTCAAGTTTTATAGTGAAAATCACAGTTAATTTATTATTAAAGTTGTGCCATATTTAAGGAAAAAGAAAGAAAAATGAAAATTTCGAACAACAATGATGTAATAATGAAAGCGCCTTTCTTGCTAAACAAAAGAGTTTCTTTCGCTGCAGACGGCGTGGCATCTTCACCACGTCTGAAGTCTGAGACTGTAAAAGAAAAGTGTGAGGTGGGATTGGTCACACAGACTGAAGTGCAGGGAAGTGAACAAAATGGCAGAGGTAGTTTTAGTTTTTTTTTTATCTTCATTAACTTATTCATATTATTTTTGTTTATATTTACGAAATACTGAACTTCTACTAGTACACAATGTTCTGACTGAGTGTTATTAATTTAAAAAACCGGGGAAGACACGCTCATTTCATTGGTACCATATTTAGACGACGTCCTACTAGCTGATACCAATCATAGAAGTGATCAAAAACTGATGGAAGAAGGAACGAAAATCAGTAATGACAAAGGCGAGAATGCCGAGAACATTGTATGTCTTCATTTCATTCACTAAATAAATATAATATAGAAAAACTTAGATATGAGTTATTTGTCCTTTAACTTATTTGAAGCCTTCGGGACATATTTTTTGCATACTATCCTGAACCTTTCTGAGATTTCCGGAATACTGTGAGTACATACGCAGCGTAAATGAATACTTTTCTAAACTTATACAGCATAATTTATTTCCATATTTTTATTTTTTACAGCAACCTTCGACAAGTGTAAAGCAGACTTTACTGATGGTCAAAAGACGAAGTCAAAGAATACAGTTTGAACAATTAGATGAAGAAGGCGAGTTGCCAGTGCGAGCGATTTCGACACCAGAGCATAATATTGGCGAGGTTTTTTTTTCACTTCCGTTTTTTTGATTTGATTGATAAATTTTTCTATGTATTGATCAAACTATCAGAGATATCCCATTATATTCAAGTTTCATAGCACTGCTACGTTTCAGCTCACGTTCGGTCTGGGCGATGAAATGTCAGCAATTGAAAGTACGCCAACAAGAAAAAGTTAGTGTGCTGTTGTCAGCAATTGTTTTATCAACATTATACACATTGAAAATTGGTTTACTTAGCCTGTTTTCATATTTTGACTTTGATTAAAATAATAGATCGATTTCAAGGATCAAAACGACAGGCTCGACAGCCCTATGTACCACCAATTGAAGAAGCTGATAACGAGAATGAATGATCTCTTTTCTAAATTTTATAATAAAGATCGATAACTATTCAACAGCAAAATTTAAATGAAAATTCACACAATACTGCTGTGTACTTCTAATGATCTCGAGTTAATGTTTTTCGTTGTATCTTAGTGCAATTCTATTAATTATCGGATAAAACTCATTATTTTTACTATCGAAAATTGTCCTATCTTAATCTTTGTAGTGAGTTATTTTCAATTTCAAATGTGGGATCTATTTAAATCCATATGGCGTTTTTGTAAAGGCATGCGATTGAATCCCTTCATACTAATTCTATTTGGAAATATTCTTGCATTAAATTACCATCGGTTTCATCATTCACATACACTGTATAATTAAATTGCAAAAATGGCAAAGCACAATATGCAGAGTTAGAAATGTGCGGCGAAGTTATGCATATTTCTACCTTACTTTTTGATTGTCCAGAACAGTAGTCCTCTTACTGTTATAATTATAAAATGTTAAATTTCGGTTTTCCAGTTAAATGCTGATTTAATTTGTCAGATACTTCTATGATATTTAGGATAACTCATTTTCGAAGCTAGAGTTATACTTAATGATTTCAATTAAAATATTGCTGAACATATTTTCTTCTGCATAGCTTATTTATGTTTCTTAAAATTAAAATTTGTCTTGTGTATAAATGTTAAGTATTGAGCTGCATATAATATAAAAAAGTCACTGACACAATATTCATCTTTTAGCGCTCAAAGTGTTTCTATGACAACTACCTCAGCTTCTAACATTATAAAACTTGAATGATTGTATTGTTTAAATTTGTGAAGATTTTCCAGTTATATCTTTGCTGCAGATCAAGAGAAAAAGGAGCTGAAAGAAGTTAAATGTTTCGAACCGGTGGGTAAAAAGAGTGGTTACCGTATCGTGGTTTGTCCGTTCATCCATTGTAGATAACCTTCAATATCATCATCTTTGTCTATTAAGATATTTCTGGAAGTTTGACCGCTATCCTTTAACGAACTGTTTGTATTTTGTTCTGTACCCATACTCTGCAATTATCAATGTTCGTATTTTGAATTTTTAAAAATTTTTGAATTTGACATTTCACTTATGTGCATTTAAGCAGGAAATGAGCGGAAGATACCTCGCTAAATATTTTGGTGCCAGAAATATCGGTGCCACTACCATTATCTACAAGAAATATACACAATTCATTGAAATGAAAAAATATCGCAGTAATGTTAACCTTTCTTATGCTTCTTTTTAATTTACGACAATAACAGATAGAATTTTGACCTAAATTGAACTATTATTTTCAGTCTAAATTTTTATATTTATGATGTTGTATTTAAGAGAAAGAAGTTACACTTCAATAAAAATTTAAAAATTTTGATTTGAGCGTTAAAATTTTTACTGTTGTGAGAAGGGGAAGTAAAGAGATCTTCTTCAGTTGTTGTTGATAAAGCATCAGCCAATAACATGTTTGTACGCGGAATTAGCTTCAGTTTTGTGCCTTGAAATTCTGCTAGATTCACTGTTTGACCTAAATTTAATAAAGAAATTTGAATTACCTCAATTACCTGAAAGCGTTTTTGTAAGCAATCAAAACATAGCCGGAAAAAATGTTATTTTACCTCTTATCTGCATATAAAATACAACAAAATGTATGTAATATGTAGTCTACACCTGTTCTCCCTTTTCTAAATAAGTTTTTCCAAATAAAATAAAATATTGCACTATGCGGTAAAAGCTTGCCGTCAGGAAATTGAATAGCATTGAATCCATTTAAAAATAAAGTGAAATATATGTTGTTCAAGTGATCAATATGATCTTCCAGAAGCATCCTTAACTGCTACAAGTTGATTTTAATTAGATTTTCGAATTTTTTTAACACATAGATTAAATTGTATGAATAAATTTTCTGGGACTACTATCATTTTCAGATACATATACAGGAAATATTTTTCAAATAAGATAAAATATTGCACTATGCCATTAAAGAAATTATTTAAGACAATTTAGGCTAATAGTATTTTTCTTTCATATAGATAACAACAATAATAAATTATATACATATATGTAAAGAATACAAAATCCACATTTAGAAAATCTAAAGAAACTATTTAAGATAATTAAGGCTAATAGTATTTTTCATTTCCCCACTTAAAACTATTACTAAGCTATCCTTAGGGAAGGAAAAATTATTTATTAGATTAATATTTGCAAGGATTGCAAAAAATACAGATGACACTAACTTACCTTGAATCGAATTTGGTACTTTTGATTTTCGCGCATCAATGTCGAATTGCTCATTGTTAATTGACACATGAGCTTTTCGTAATATTGCTGCTCTTGATTTAACTCGTAGAAATTACTTTTCTAAATTATTTCTTCATACCACTACTGATGATGATTATTATTATTATTATTATTTATTAATGTTATTACTAATAATTATTATTAATATTAATTATTACTTGGCAAAAGTTTTGCTTAATGTTTCGAAAATTATTTTAAAAAGTGGGAGAGTGTGCGAGAAATTTAATCGTCATTTTGACATTCTACAGATTTCCTTAAGCTATTCTTTTAAAATAACATAAGCGAGTTGTTAGTTAGCAAATTTACTAGAGTTATTTGCCACCCTTAGAAAAGTACTAACCGCTACTAATCGATGATCCACCTCAACCGTATATTCATTCCGTTTTTGTTCAATACCCGAAAAGTAATTCTTTGTTGAGTGTCTGTAACCGCTGTAACCGTCCTGCAATAAGTATAAACTTGCATGCATTATTTCAGCATGTATCACATGCAATGATACAAAGATGCGTTTACATGGAGTATGTATTATCAAGAATTTTTCAGATATTTTTGTTATTCTTAAGTTTAGTCTATCTAACCTCCACTACCTGTCCGAAAAAATTCTCCGTAGAGCATTCTTCTGTATAGAAGGAAAAATTGCATTCGTCTATTATCGTAATCTTATCCGATTGTGATGCGATGAATTATCATTTTGGTTTTCTTGATAGATAATGGATTGTAATTTGAAGAGATATATCGTATACGGATCATAAATTATTTTATAAAATAATTATCAGTAACAAAATGTCAACCTTACACATTTTTACCAAAACAGACGGTTGACTTTTATGAATACTACTTGTTGTTCCTCCGGAAGATTCTTGAGCTGATGTCTTCATTTTATCTTCTTTGAAACGTGATGCTAATGGCATGTAGTTGCAAAATTGTGTTGACTTCAGTTTACTGGAAGAACGACATTTCGGATCGGAAAACATATGAGCACCACATAATACTGCAAGTTTACTTTCACATTTTGCTTTAACATCAATTTGATACTTCCATTTTTCATTTTTCAATTTAGGAATCTGAATTGAAAGCGAAGAAATTGAAGTTTGTTAAATCAGTTCTTTTTTTTCGAGTAAATCAGAATCACACAGTTATTTCAAAATATAATATGAAGTTGGATAAACATTGCAAATCTTGAAATAAACAAATTTTCAAATTTTGTTTTCAAGTTGAAACTTTATTTTAAATTTTAGCAGTTTGTGTTGAACAAATTCTACTTTTGGTCCAATGATAAAAATGAAAATTGTTAAAGAATTTACAGGTGCGAACAAATGAAGTAACAGCAGGTGACTTCCCGTATCCATAATCATCACACATAACCACTGTATTTCGCATTTCCTGAAAGAAGTTAGCTTTTCCATTCTTTAGAACTAAGCTAACAGATATGAGTTTTAATATTCTTCTAAAGCATGACCATCCGATCCGTTAAGGGTCAAGCAAATCATTTTATGCTTTATGGAAATTTTATAAAACAAATAAACCTTATTAAATATTAAACTAAATTTATTTGATAATACTGTCTGATAATAATATTATCAATATTTCAGCATAAAAAATAAAATTTAGAAAATAAATTTTAATATATTGTTGCTTATATTTTGTATGCATAAGTTTTCCTTTATGTTTATTCTATGCAAAGGAAGAAACTCGCGATATATGTTTTAAATGATCGGATAAGTATGCCGTTTTGTAATATATTCATTCCGGAAACAATTCCCACTTCATTAATATCATCAGAATAATAAATATATCCCGCTATTTTATCAATTTTAACTCAATAAAATTTTATATTAGATTAGGATAAATAATCATTAAATGCACACGATATCATTTTGATGATATTACTAAAGTGGGAATAGTTTCCGGAATGAATATGCTGCAAAATGGTATATGGGAAAAAGAAGAGGACAGTGTTGAATATTCGACATTTCATGCTGCATTCGTTTCAATCATTTTTATTGTTGAAAACGAATTCAATCATTTTTATTGTTGAAAGGATAAAAACTTATGGCAAAATATCAATACTTCTATTGCTCGAATTTTGCATTTTAATATTTCATTTAAAATTTTGATTTTTGAATAATTAATTTGATTTGAATATTTGATTCGAATTCTAAAGTAACATATGAAAAATAAAACGAAGCATATATTCAATAAGAGAATGTTGAAAAATGATAAATTAAATTGTCAGATGAATTTAATAAAACTTAATTTAATAAATTCGAATTTAATAAATCGAATTTAAAAGAGATTCAATTATCGATTTTTCTTCAAAAATTAGAATTAAAAAAATAGCAAAGAAAAGAGTGAGAATTTGATAGGGAAAAGAAAAAAAGAAGAAAAATAATTGAATTTTCTTTCTAATTTATGCTATGATCCGGGAACAGCTCAACATAACTTCAAAAAAATAAATCCATTCCATTGGTATTGAATGGCTTGAAAATCCCAACGGATTTTTGAAAATGATTTCTGTAAAGAAATTAAATTAAATTAAATATTACAATTCATTTATTATTCGTTAATTATAATAAATATTTTTTAAAAGAGATTTTAATTTATAATAATAATTTATTTTGAATAAATTAACTTTTAATGAAAGTAAGTTAGCATAAATTACAGAATGATTAGCATATAAACAATTATTTCTTCAATGGAAAATTTTTTTTTTAGGATATTGAAAAAAGTGTGAAAAGAAATGGAAATGAAAGAAAGATTGGAAATGGTTGAAGTGGCTGTCACTTTCGACTAGCATTTCAAATTCTTTCTACGAAAATATTTCGCAATGAAATTTTCTGATACGAAAAGATCATCATTCCTTTTTTTAGATTCTAAAAGTCTTAAATAAAAGCTTGTTAAGCTAAGGCAATCCTTAGCTTTAGGAAGAATAGAAGAAGATAGGGAGGAAAGACTTGAAGAGCCTAAAGATCCATCAATCGCATGTAAAATATCTTTTAAAAAAATTTTTGCCTTCATTCTTTTCCCTTGATATTTTTATTTGGAAAAAAAAGGAAGGAAGCAAAAGTAAATTGTACTCTCGGGAATTGATCCGAGATAAAAAATTTCAACTATTATTTTTGTTTACCTTCTAAATTTTCATCTTCAACATTAAGTGTTAAAATATTGCAGTAAAATTTTTGATTCGAAATTTAATCATTAAAAAAGAAAATATTTGGACGTATCATCGAATGTAATTGTTAAAAAGAATGTTAGCTTTAATTTAAATTTAAATTCAAAAAATTGAATTTAAATTTTTAAGGCTAATAAACAGAAGAAAATGTGCTAATTAATTTAGGATAGAAAATAAAAAATAAAAATTAATGCATAATACGTTTTCGTGATTTTAACAAATTCGATTATTTAGCAAACAAATATCATCGCCTTTTTTCCTCTATCGGAGAGAAGAAGACAATAAGTTAGTTAATATGAAATGTAATGCAATAACTACGCTCAGTGAACAATCATCAAATTTTCAAACATTTAATATATTATATTGAATATTATATTTAATTATATATTATATATTATATTTT